CGGTGGGGGTGGGCGAATATTTAGTTATCGGATTCCAAATCACTGTCGCTGTGTTTTGTCTATCGAGGGGAGGCTCATACTGGAATGGAATGGAAGGAATCAATACATCTCATATCAATGTCAATACTATTATTATCTAGCTAGTTTCTACTAGCTATCTATCAATTTGTTTCTAGGGTTTCAACCTCTTTCAGCCTTACATTCACCACACAGTAAAGCCCCCGGAATCAACAGCATGCATGGTACGTACTCCTTGAGAACACAGATTAATCTCCCGTCATTAGAGCCGAAACATAGTCACAGAGAAAAGTGGTCTCATCATGTAGGAATGATCCTCTTGCTCTGCATTCTGCGGGCTGTATGTACGTACTGGAAGGATGGCGGAGTATTCCACATATCAGCCGACGGCACAGTACACATTTGACTAAAAGATATGTACAAACCACTTCATGACCTATGAATCCCCCTAAATTATCTCAGACCACTTTGCTTCGCCGCTGCTACCTGTGGTCTATCTGCGGTCTCGTACATCTCTATGATCAACCGTAAGGTCATGCGCCCTGTTAGGGGGTGACCAAACACTCACTCATCCTTTACTCTCTACCCGCTCACCCGGACAGTTGAAACACACACACACATATACTCCGTACATCTGTTAAAATTCCATAAGCTATTCACCGACAATTATGTATGGCCTCACTAAGAACTTTTATAAGTATCTATATAGCCTTACTTATTGTACTGACACGTAGCAGAGGTCCTATCTACCTTGCTGGCTGAGTATACACTCAGGGGCCCCTCAAGAAGCAACCATTCCGCTTCGTCTACTTGACTTTTCTACTCTGTTGAGTTTCAAGATAGGATTTGCGAAAGTTTCATAACGGCTTCTAAAATAAGGAGTGACTTAGATAAGATAGATGTCTTTTATCTTATCAGCCCCCAATAACTGCCGGTTCAGTCCAATCCACCTGATCCACGCTGGGGTTTCCTCCGTTTTTGGAGTAGCTAATTCTTAGGCGCAGCCGGAGTTTTGGAGGAAGTGCCTAATATGGGAATTATATCAGTGAGCTTGAACGGTATAATGATTGGTAAAAACGAGCTTAACTTACGCCAGATGTGGCCGCAATCCTCATTGCTTGTGTGCCCTCTTCACCACCGTCGAGGTCGGGTTTGTTGATGGCACTCAGCTGAAGTTTCTGAGTCTTGGGTACCGCAGCTTGCAGACCAACGCCCGAGAAACTGTCCAGAGCGGATGTATTGCGGAACCTGGCAAGTATCTGACATGTGCCCGCACTATTTCTTTGGATTTGGAGGGTTACTTGGAGGTCGTTCTTGTTAAACACTTCATGAGCAGAGGGTGATGGAGTGGCCGGAGCAACAGGTTGGGCTGTATGGCCTGAGAGGCCTGCAGTAGGCTGCTGCTGGGAAGCCCCATTGGAGCCAAAAAGGTCCATGATATCATTGACGTTTGAGGATCTGGCGGACGTAGGCTGTGGTCGTGGCGCAGCCTCCGAGCTGCTGCCACCAAGAATATCAGCGAGGAGGTCTGCGGTGTTTTGGCTGCCATTCGTTTTGCCTGGCGTGCTTTCGGCTGGGACGTCAGAGCCACCGCCCATGAGGTCGAGTAGCATATCTTGTTCAGTGGGTTTAGACCGTTTCTTTGATTTGTCTTTCAGCAGTCTGCTTTGTCGTTTGTTCATGACTTCGCCGAGGACTCGCTGCTCCTCCCGTATTTCTGGTGGAGGCATCCTCTCAAGCACCCCCTGCCTTATCTGATCATATCCAAATAAATTGCTATATTCCACGGCTCGCTGCTGAATCTCTTCGCTCAGATCGGCAGTCTTGTCTTCAAGAATCGGCGGATTCGCTCGATCTGGGCGGGGTCTGAAATCCTCGTGGAGAGCTTCATGGAAGCTGTAGTAATGTATTCCGTCACAATTGGGGTTGCGTAGGTGCTGTTTAAAATGTTCATGAAAAGATCGATAATGTCGCTGTCCTTCACCTCCTTCACCAGTTCCTCTTCCTCGTACTGGCCTCCGCGAAGGAGAGCATCTCCAAATTCACCAATAACCCAGGATGCAGCTACGGTAAGACCTTCTTGGGAGATATCTTCTTTTAGAGCTGCGTATAGCTTTTGCACAGAGTAAGTCTGCAGATCAGGAGTTGTAGCAATGAGACGAACGAATGACGAAATGATTTGTTCCTTCACGTAGTTGCCGGCGAGTTTCAATACGCGGAGCATAGTGTCCACATGCCATCTTGGATTTGGAGCAAATTTGTTCGCAGCGATTCCAATTTGGGTGGTCATGGAAGACTTGAACTCGTTATCAGCGACTTCTAGGAACGCCAAGAGCTCACGAACAAGTACTCTGATATTTCCTTCATTGATCAATGTGAAACTAAGGTCTAGAGCTCGCCGTCGTATGCTGATGTCTGGGTCCCGCAAACATTCTAGGATCGTGTTCCTGTGCCTCTGGACAGCGTTTGGCTCTACAGCAACCACTTTGACAAGGGTATTAAGAGCAACATATCGGATGTTGTTATCTTTGTTGGACAAAAACTTCCCCAGTATATTGACGCCTAGCACACGAAGACCCGAGTCGGCTTCGATGTCCAGGATAGTCAAAACAGCCTCGTACAAAATAGAGTTTCCGACATTCTTGCTAGACTCGGTGTTCGTAGCGACTTGAGCGAGAATGTCATTTATTAACTCGCTGGTAGCTGCATCTCCTCTCCCAAGCACCCCCAGAAACCGCAGGATTTTCACCTGTAAGAATGGATCTGTTATGCCAGAAACGTCATGTTCGGGAGCGTAGCCAGAGGAAGTTAAGCCCTTCAACGTTCGCACCAGTCCAGCAGCCATTGGGCGGAATTTATCAATGACTTCTCCGGTACCTTCATTTTCATCGTATTCGCAAAATTCGATCGCAAGTGTCAACCCGCTCAACAAAACACCGTGGTTCCGGTCTACCAAAAGGTTCTTCGCTTTGTCAATAAAATGTTCTTGCAAGTCAGGTACTTTACGGCAGATTCGCATGGCGCATAGGGCTGCCTTTCGACGGATATAAGGGTTTGCCGTTGATATGAGGGATTCGATTTCAGGAAATAGGTCTCGGGACATTTCGACGGACGCGATATTCCCGAGTGTACAGAGAGCAAGGCCAACGACATACTGATTCGAATGGTTGAGGTCACTGCCAAGGTCAGTGAGCTGCAAGGGTTCAACTTTTGAGAATACCACTCACTTCTTTAAGGAATTGGTAACCAATGTCAAAACTTCTTGATTTTCATCCAGCAGTAACATAGTCCCCAGGTAGCCCAGTCGCTTGTCGGCGAAGCGTGGTGAGGCTAGTAATTTCAGACATTCTATCTGCCCAAAGTGCGTTCTCTCTCCCAGTGTGAATAGATATAATAATTTGGCGACGTTGTTTCTCCTAGTAGCCTTGTCAGCATCCTTTTAATAAATCCTGGCCTTATAGGGGGGGGGGAAAGGAAACAATAAAGATGCCTCGTACCGGACGCCAGAATCTGTGCTGTCCTCTCTGAAACTCGCCCGAATAGCAGCACTCTCTTTTTGAATAACCGCACGCTCGTCGGCAATAGTTTTGGATGCACGAACATTGCGGATGAATTGCTTCACTGGAAGCTTGATATCAGCATCTGCAAATACAGGCAAGGGGTTTGCGGGGCGCCGTACGAGAGGTCATAGTGACGGCGAGGACCCCTAACGGGGAGCAAGCTGGGTCAGGGCAGGTAGAGGAGGGCTAGGGGCTGCTCAACATGGAACAGGGCTTGCAACTGGAGGCCGTCTGCTGCTCCTAATTAATACTAGATGGCTCTATCAACGGCCTTTTTCTTCTATGTACGCTTTGCTATCAACCTGGCTATGTGTCTTGAGTTGGGCGTCGGGCTGACTCAGCCTTATCGGATATACTATTTTCCACAACCGCTAATAGTCAGCACTTAGTCATCAGCTTTGACGTCAGCCTCGGCAAGCAAAATGTTGTGACTTCTTATTTGTCTACAACTTGAGCTTCGTCACAAGGCAATGAGATGTACTAAAATCCTCCGTGTTGGATCTATATATTCGGCCTGTTACTCCGTCTCGAATCCTGGCAATGGCTGCGCCTTGTGCTGTGGCACTCAGCAACTGATACATATACACAAAACACCCCTAAGCTTTTCCCAGTATATCTACATATACTCGATGTCATTGCGATAACTTTCGTTTCAATTCTGACAATGGCGCCCACTCCCAATGATCCAGAGGAATCTGGTGTGCTTCGACCCCGAGCACTGCGCGCATTTGACCACCATATAGAGCGCCCACACCTGGCCATGGATAGGACACCGTCTAGCCTCTCAAGGTAAATGACCTGCCGTTGTCAATTGTCGCATTATTATACCCGTTAAGAGGTCAACGGTTCTGACTTGATGCCCCCAAAGCGGTCGCTCGACGCCTGTACCAGAAGATGCTCCTCCTTCTGCTCACTACATATCGACTGTCCGGAAGCAAGTGCGAGCTCAAGTGAAGCAGCGCATTTTTTACAACATCGATTACCAGCCACGACTCTCCCATTTTGATCCCAATAGTGATCACCGTGATTTTCACGGCTTTTTCATCTTATTTTGGATAAGCTTGGTTATCATGGTGATAACTACTGTGCTGAGAAATATCAAAGATACTGGATACCCGCTGAGAGTTCATGTTTGGTCTCTCCTATCAGCTAACGTGTTCCAACTTGCGCTTGCCGACATGGGTATGGTTGCAAGCACTGCAATAATAGTACCGCTCCATAGGGCGATTAGAAGTAGCAAGGGCTTGCTTAGATGGGGAATTGGGGGCATGGTGGTGCAGAGTATATATCAAACTGTTTGGCTCTCATTTTGGGTCATGTAAGTGTCATCTCATCCCCTACTTGTTAAACTGTGGGCAAGTAGCTAATTGCATACTAGACTTCCGTTCAAGTTAGATTGGACGTGGACGGCGCAGGTCTTTTTGACTCTGCATACTTTGACAATCTTGATGAAGATGCATTCTTACGCATTTTATAATGGGCATCTAAGCGAAACAGAGCGCCGATTATCAGCCCTGGATGAGCCACAGGCCAAGGTCTTCCCTGCTGCAGTCCATTACCCGAGATCTCCAGTTGTAGCTGATACTTCAAACCCGGCAAATAGCGAGATAGATTCTTCTGATACCGATACTGACCCAAAGCAACAAGTCAGCAAACTACGAGCCGATCTGGCAATGGAGCTGACCTCTCCTCTTGGCCATGTTACCTATCCCCAGAATCTTACGTGGAGGAACTATGTAGAGTTTATATTTTTTCCAACTCTCTGTTACGAATTGGAATACCCGCGAACTAAGGACACCTGCTGGATAGAAGTTTTTATCAAAGCAGCCGCAGTATTTGGCTGTATTTTCCTATTAACATTGACTAGCGAGGAGTTTATCGTTCCTGTCCTGAGTGATTCCGCATTCAGGCTTCGTGCAACTCCATCACACTTTGAAAGGGGTTTAATCCTCGCCGAGACTATCAGCATGCTCCTATTCCCGTTCATGGTGACATTCTTACTGGTCTTTCTGGTAATATTCGAGTACGTGCTGGGGGCATTTGCCGAAATTACACGGTTTGCAGATAGGCGGTTCTACTCAGATTGGTGGAATTCCTGTGACTGGTAAGCAATGATTGTCGAGCTTCATTAATATAGACCTTTTTTTCCGTTGCTAACTACGGTGTTGTAGGTTGGAATTCTTAAGAAAGTGGAATCTTCCTGTTCACCACTTTCTTCGACGTCATGTATACTTCTCCTCTCTCACCCGTTTCTCAGCACCAGGAGCGATGGCCATCACCTTTCTTGTTAGCTCAATTGCACATGAATTGGTAATGGTCTGCATCACTAAAAAGTGGCGAGGATACGGCTTTTTCGCCATGATGCTGCAATTGCCTATTGTGGCAATTCAGAGATCGAAATTTGTGAAGGGCCGAAAAACGTTCAACGTAAGGTATTAGCCTCCCCGGGGTACTGGATTCGTACACTAATATAATTTGCTATATAGAACGTTTGTTTTTGGATATCTATGATACTTGGACTCTCTTTAGTAGGTCTACCATTAAATGATACTGATGTTACATGTGGATCACAAACAGCTAACTAAATGATATAGATCTGTGCCCTCTATGTTCTTGTATAACTTTAATACTTTTTATATACCTTCTACTCCTATTTCATAAAAACTCATACCCTAGGAAGTCAGGATGATAGATTTATATACCCCATCTAAATAAGATTATATCTCTCTTAATAGCTTTTCATATTACTGTCAATATTTATCCCCTCAGCTGGCTTGTAACTTCAGACTAATAGCATATATTAGATTAGATAGAATAACATCTTTGTAGTCTAATCTATCTTGAGGTCGGGAACTAGTTTGATACTGATGTCTTCTTATATATAGCTCCGGGAGAAATACGGGCAGATTGAACAGTGGATGGTAGTTGCAGGTCAGATATAAAGGAGATAAATATAAAGAGCGAGGTAATTTGCTAATGCCATGATGCAATGACTCCAAGTGGAACAACATATCATGAGACATGTCCAAAGCGCAGGACAAAGTAAAAGGCAACAAAGTATAGAAAATAAATCCAAAATCCCGAGATAAAGATAGTAAACATGCTCAGAGAAACAACTATGTCAAAAGTACTCACCTACTGTCAAAGGTAGAATATTGGCTCCCTAACGCCTATGTATCAACTTAGCAAAAAGAACGCAATCGGAACGCATATAATTACACCGAGGCCCAGCTTATATATGTTCAATCGGTTCCTCAGGGAGGAGTCGTTCATGAGCAGGTTCGCCAGGAGAGGGTAAGCAAGCCTTGAGTGGTGGTGTAATGATATCGTTGAAAAGGAAAGTTCCATAGACGAGCATGGCGAAACCAACGACCTGTAACCACTTGAAGGTCTCCCAGCCGAGACCGAGGGAGACCAGCCAGATGAACAGGGTCCTAGAGGTGTCAATGGTGCTCCGTGAAGTCGCAGATAGCGAGCGTGTGACACTAAGGCCGAAGAAATTGAAACCCCTGCAAACAACAAACAAACGGTGGGTTAGTGGCTGTGCAGACTCACTCTGAGAAGGGTGATAGAATAACATACCCGATACTGATCATGATTAGAATGCTGGTTACGGCAACAGTCTTGTGTTCAGTCATGTTTCTCCATCCCTCTACGGCATCAAAGTATCCAAGCTTGCCACTCTCGCTAACGCCGATAGTGAAATGCAGAATCACCATTGCCAAAGCAGTGACCAAAAATCCGAATATTCCCTCCCAGCCAACAACTTTCAGCGGGTTCATAGAGTACTTTTCAAGAATCCATTCCTCTAGCACAAACTGAGATGCGGTGAATATTTGGGCAAAAGCAATCAGGAAAACACCGAGAACGACACGTAGTGGGTCAACGTGTTTTTCGGTGGTGGTAAAGGACTCATGGGCACGTTTGAAGAGAGCAACAAGAGCGTCAGCGTTTTCAGGAGTGCCGTGTACGGCTGGTTTATGATGGTCAGGGAAGATGGCACCCGCAAGGCCGACTAGGGCCACTCCGACAACGACGCAGACCAGCGCAGACCACTGATAGAAATACAACTTCCTTCTGAGGAAAATAACGCTGAACAGGCCCACAAATAGAACGAGGGCTCCTCGGGTCATCTGGTAGATGCTGGCGACAACAAACAAAAGGCCGACATTCATCAAGGTAGTGCCGGTGATGTCACAGCAAGCCGGTAGAGCAAGAAGCATTATCTTCTTCCCACTCAGCTGTGTCCTTGTGTCTTCGTCGAGTTTACGTCTATTACCAGCTTCATCATCGGCTTCGTAAGCGGCGTCATCCTCGGAGTTGCTGATGGACTGATATCCATCGGCAAATAGCGGTGCGGAGGAGAATCGGGGTACGATGAAGCCTTTCCAGATATCGATGCAAAACAAGACGAGCCAGCAGCCCATTTCTCCAACGAACATCTGTAGTCTATTCTCCAGTTACGAAACGATGTTAGTTATGCAGTAAGCTATTTTATCGAGACAACGAAGCAGGGGACATACGTCTGAAGAACCGGCTGCTCAAAAGCGACTCTCTTGCTGGGGTCTGGTGAGTCACAATTTCTCACACATTGCATGTCCTATCAGCCCTATCGGTTAATACGCAGCTTTCTTCAACGATACAGGGTGACTGACCTGGTACTTGGTGAGGAGCGTGTTGCAAACTCCCGTCACCAACATCATGGAGACGAGGAACGGGACAAGGGCCTTTGGAACCATCTTTACTATCCTTTTCCCCTTCACCTTTAAAACAGCTGGCAGTATCTTCTTCTTCTTCTTCTTCTTCTTCTTCTAGCCAAAAGGTGTGGCAAGAGAAGGTGGTTGGAAGGTGTGTTGGATGTGTGAAGGCTGAGGCCGTCAACTTTCTGGGGGTTTGAGCCTCGATCTACGGCACGCGACGATGCAAAGTGACGAAGTTTGCCTTTTTAGCTGCAAGGGCATAATCACGTGATTATAGATAAAGTGGATCAGCTGACCGGGATAAGTGGATGCGCCAAGAAAGTTTAAAGTTAGATAAGGCTTGGTCACGTGTGTGTTAGATAAGCTGGGAAGAACGTCATGAAGTCAGCATCAGAAATGTGATTAATGAAGTAAATTAGTATACAAGGCAAAGTACAAGGCAAAGTACAAGGCAAAGGAACATCCTTAGAACCGGTACAAGCATGTATTAGCGGTAGGTTAGTTGCGCATAGCTCCCCTTCAAGGATAAGGCTCGCTCAACTTGGTAGAACCGAATGATTAATATAGATCGAGGCAACAGAATCATAACGCACACCACAGTAAAGCGAGACAAAGAATCAAAACCATAACCAAAAAGCGGAGGGGAAAAAAAGATAGAGGCCAGGTATTAGTTGCAATAGTTAAACAAGAAAGAAATCGAAGGTATCATGACAAACATCCCTCACCACATAACGCCTTGCTTTGTGCCGAGAACAAAGAGAATAAGCAAATTAAGGGCAACCGAAGGGGGTAGATAGATCAAGCCAAAAGATCAAGAAGAAAAGAAAGACCGACGAGCAAACAAAGCAATGAAGTATATCCAGCGACCATCGAAGATTTTTTTCCAATCCCATTCCCTTTCCTCCTTTCCCATTCCAAAAAATTATTAACCCAGGGTATTATTTTGACAATCCTATTAACCAGCTCCTTAATCTTTTTTCGTTTTGCACGGTGATCAACACCCAAGAAAGCAAGAAAGAAAGAGGAAGAAGAAAATAAAGACTCCAAAGTAAAAACTAAATCAAAATCACCTTTTTCTTTTTCGGAAGTATCCGTTAAATAGAGTAAATCGGCTTCTCGGACCGCAGCTGCGCGTCACCATTCACATCCACGTTGTCGCCAAGCTCCATGGCGTCCCAGTTGATATTATGCCATGCGTCGCTCATAAATAGTCCGCTCTCCATGTCTTCAGGCAGATTCATCCAATCGGAAGGCACCCAGTTATTTGCATCGCCCGCCATCTCTTCATCCTTCATGTCACCGTCTTGTGGAGTTTGCATCGTAGCAGACCAGGCGGATGTCGGTGTATCATCTGGTGGCTGTTGTCGGAGATGAGAGAATACCTCGTTGGCAATGATCTCGTCGACAGGATCGGTGCTAAGACCACAGGAAGATTCATCACCTAGGTCACTGAAAGCAGCGCGGATCATTTCTTGGCTTATCGAGCTTTCAGACCAGAGATCCTTGGTGGAAGCAGAGAGCCCAGGCGATACATTGGATCCAGCGGCTTCCTTCTTGTCCTTGCTTGTGCTGGTAGGGGGCTTGAGGCTGGATGACTTCTCCTGCTGTGAGGGAGACGTTATCATTGGCACTGCGGATGGGCCTGCGCCAGTGGTAGGCGGCAAGGCCTTCGGATCAGTTCCGGTAGGTTGGCTGCCTGCCTTCTTGTCGACGCCAAGCCCGATTCTGAAACTTTCCACTAGGTACTCAAGAGGGTTGGCAATAGGCTCTTCAGCCTTATGCACATCCTGAATATGCTCATCCAATGCAGCCTGGGATGTGTAGCCCCTAAATCGCTGTACACAGTCGCTAATTTTGCATTTGAACAATTGAGTTGGCGGAGTTGCGTTCTTGGCTGGGGCTGCTGGCGTTGTCGCTGGTGGAGTGGCCTTGAGCTGCTGGTTTTTGGTAGCAGGAGACTTGTTGGTCTTGACAGAAGGTTCATTGGTAGGCTGTTTTGTCTTCTGCTTTTTTGGTTTTGGAAGCACGAGGTTATCTTTAGTTACCTGGTGGGGTCCATAAGCGCGCGGGACGCCCTGTGGAGAAGTGGCGCCGATGGGGTAAGGCGGCTGTCGGGTGGTGGGGACGGGTGGCGGGACGGGATTTTGAGATTGTCCTCGTTTGGCGCGTTCTTGCTGTTCAAGTTGCTGTAGATTGATTGCATTCAGGGGCACACTCGTTTGGGCCGGCGTCTGTGGGCTAGCTGTAACTCTCGCAGCAGCGGCGGCAGCAGCAGCATGCTGCGCTTGTAGGATCTGAGCCTGTGCGTGAGCTTGAGCTTGAGCCTGAGCCTGCTGTTGCATCTGCATCTGGTGCTGTTGTGCCTGTTGGTGTTGGTGTTGCTGGGCTTGCTGAGCCTGCTGGGCTTGTTGCATATTCTGGTTTTGTATGTTGTGTCTGCGGGTAATCATGATCACAAACCAACGCTGAATGTATGTCAACGCAGAGCTGATGTATTCAGGCTTGCAAGTTAGTTGGTCCACCACTGTCCAATCGGCCGCTTTGAATTGCCTCATCAACCTCACCCTCTATAATATAGAAGTTAGTATCAATAAGGTTGTTTTAAAATATGACCATGAGAAAACTGCAAAGAACTATGTAGCACTCAACTTACCATCTGCATTAGTGATCTCAGCGTGCGTTCCTGCTCCCTTACTTTGGCAAGCCAAGGCATCAATGCGTCCATATTGGCTATCATATCAGCACCATCTCTAAGTTGCTGTGACGCGGTAGCGTATTCCTCGGGCGACATAGATACGGGAGCTAGTTCTGTATCGTTTCGTGCTTCTTCAGCATAGATACGCTTGATAGGCTCTGGGAGCCGTGACCAAGCCTCCGCAGTGGCCTCTTTGGTGCGTCGCTGGAATAGATTAGATAGCTGAAGCTGGCCCTGTGCCATGATCTGTGCTTGGCGGCGAAGATGTGTGTCAAGCTGGACCTTTTGCTGTGGTGTCATGGACGCTAGTTGGGCTGGTGTCAGCTGTGGTATAGGCATAGGCATAGGTATCGGCATTGGCCGGGTGTTGGCGGTTGGTTGCGAGACCTGGTCAGGTGCACCAGATCGAACTTCGGTATCAGATGGGCTGGGTCGTTTGAGATTCTGTGGTGGGACGGGAACGGAGACTGGTACGGATGTTGGCTTAGCAGGCGGACCGGCTCGTAGCTTCGCAGATGGAGGGGCGGTTGTGGGAACAGCCATTGGTTTGGTCATTGGTTGGGCAGGGTTTGGCTGAGAGATGCCTGGCTGCATTGGGCTGGAGGATATGGGTAGTTGCATATTCTGTTGCTGTTGTTGCGAAGTTGCTGGATACTCAGCACTAACTTCTATGCCTCCACCTTGTATAGAGCTACCCTGTGATTGTTGCTGTTGTGGTTGCGGCTGCTGCTGCTGCTGCTGTTGAGGCATGAATCCTTGTGGCTGCAACTGAGCTTGAGCTTGACCCATTTGTATACCACGGACCTTGAGAATCTGTCTTTGTCGGTTCTTCTCAATAATCTGCTTCAATGTTTCGTCATTTAGATGATTCGCTCGGGGGCCTAACTGTTGGCGCGCCATTTGTATGTCATGCATCGTGATAGGTCTGGTCAGGCCTATTGGCAGTTGCCCTGGCTGCCTTGGCTGTCCCGTCTGCTGTGATAGCTGCCCCATCTGTCCTGGTTGCTGATTTGGCTGGGCAGTCCGCGTCTGTTGCTGGAAGGCCGGCTGAGTAAATGCGGGCGCTGGCTGCTGAGCATTAACATTTTGTTGTTGTTGAGCTTGTGGCTGCTGTTGCTGAGGTTGCTGCTGAGGCTGTCCTTGTTGCTGGAACGGCGGCTGGAGCTGTTGAGGCATGAAGCCTGGGCCATGTCCCTGTGCAGCTAGCTGAGCCTGAGCCTGGGCTTGAGCTTGGGCCTGCGCTTGCAATCTATTGTTCAACTCCTTCTGTACACCGTGGAAATGCATCTTCTGACAAGCCAGCAGCTTCTGTATGGTAAGCTGGCCCATTGCCTGTGGATTCTGACTAGCCCATTGTTTAAGCTGGCCCCAAGTCTTAAGCACTTTGGGAACAGGTGGTGGATTTGGCATTCCCGCCATGCTGGGGGAGATGACACTTGGTGGAAAAGGGATGCGGTCCATATCGCGCAATTGGTCGTCAGTGAGTTTTTGGGCTGCGTGCTGGAAAAATTGTTGACGGGCGAGGTCTGCCTGAGACTGAGGCTGGGACTGAGGCTGGAACGAAGATGATTTAGGGTGCTGGGTGGGCTGAGATTGCGGCATGCCTGGCTGCTGCTGCTGCTGCTGCTGCTGTGATGTTTGGGGATGCATGGGTACTCCGCCTGCACCCATAAGATGCTGTTGCATGGCCATGGAATTGCGCATGTTCGGATCTGCACTGAATGGAAGCCCTTGGTTCAGATTTTGTGGGGGTTGATTTGGGTCAACTTGCTGCGGTTGTGGTGGCTGGCCCGGTTGGGGGACCTGATTCTGTCCTGCCACACCTAGCTGGTTTGCGCGGTTGTCGGGGGCCTGCCGAGCCCTCGCCTGTCTAGCGAAATTCTCCAGGATAATAGAGGCATGTTGGGGTGACATTTGTGAGAGTTGATCGCGAAGAGTTTGCGGGACCCCAGGAGGGATGTGAGGGCGGGGGCCACCAGCTTGGGGAGGTTGTGAGGGCTGGCCATTGGGGTTACCAGCCATGGGCACGGCAGGTGTGGCTCCCTGTGGTGGGAGTTGCTGTGTTATCTGAGATGGTTGGTTCGGCTGTGAGGACATTGCCAATTGATTATTCATAGCAGCTTGGTTGCGAGCCTGTTCGGGTTGTAGTTGAAAGTGAGCACCCTTATTTAATGAATTCTGTTGCTGTTGCTGTTGCTGTTGCTGCTGGGCGAGAAGAGCTGGGTTCATGGCAGGTCTGCTTCCTGGTTGCTGCTGCTGCTGCTGCTGCTGCTGGCCATGAAAGCGTTGAGCTTGAGCAGCGGCGAACTGAGAATTCATCATGGTAGTGTTGGGTGGGTTAGCGGTCGCTGGTACAACGAGCTGACCTGCCTCTTGGGAACGGAGACCGTCTTCCTGCTGGCCTTGAATCTGGTCGACGCTGCCGTTGAAGGTGAGGTCTGGCTGACTGATGGGGACGTTGTGCTGCATTCCCATGGAGGGCTGGCCTGTCATCTGTCCCATCATAGCGGCTTGCTGAGCTGGGTCCATACCACCTGGTTGGCCATGGCTGGCCATTCCCATCCTCTCCAGCCGCCGTCTTCTTACCTGGGCCAGTGCTTGTGAACGGAAGAATTGGGCGAGCGGATCTATTCGTTTTTGGGCAAATTGTTCCCTCTGCTCTTGAGGCATGTTCTGTAGGTTCATCTTGATCCTTTCAAGATCGTCGGGTGGGGTGTTGCGGGCCAACTGCTCGGCGAGAGCGTAGACATCTTGTATTTCGCGAGGGGTGAGCTGATTTAAATCCTGGGTAGCGCCAGGTCCACGAGGTTGTTGTTGTTGTTGTTGTTGCTGCTGCTGCTGCTGCTGCTGCTGTTGTCGTGCAAGTTGCTGGATGAAGGCTGAAGGTTGTGGTTGTTGTGGTTGCATGTGTTGAAGATTCATACGCCCATTTGGCACCTGTCCTGGGAGTGGTGAGCCTTGAATGGGTTGTTGTTGTTGTTGCTGCTGCTGCTGCTGCTGCTGTTGTTGGCGCTGCATCGCGGCAAACATCCCCATCTGCGAGGGAGGAACCTGCATGCCACCACCCTGTTGTTGCTGCTGCTGGTGGTTGGCATGCTGCATCATGCCATTCTGCATCATGATGGCCTGTTGCTGCCGAGAGTCCCGTATTTTGGAGTTTTTCTCGCCGACTATACGTTCATAATCGGCCTACCGGATTGTTAGCCACACGGGTGCAGTAGAGAGGGTATAAGGTGGCGGTTACCTTCTCGTTCGCCTCTCTGAAGGTTTGTTCTTCGAATCTCAACGCTGCAGCGATCGTAGTCGGTATATCGCAGTTTGGTTTGACGAGGCGGAGGGCGGATATGCTGTTTGCAAGGTGTGAGTTTATTATGGTCATTCACAGCATGGCGGAACCATGGTACTCTTCCACCCGTTTGACCAGTCACGTCCGACATGGCAGTGATCGTAGTAAAGGAGAAGAGGCGAGAAGGGCGGAAAAAAAACTAGTAATAATTAAATAACAATGGGCGAAACGTACATGGTCATAGTCCTGAGGGCGCGTTCTCGCACCTGGACGCCCTCTCTCCAGCCAGTAAAGGGACCCTGGGCCTGCAGCGCCTGCACCACAAGCTTCCAGATGGACTGGCTGTCTGCCTTCTGCGGGCCCTGCGGCTTCGCGCCGGTCGCGGGTGAGGGCATCTGGTGGAAGTTGTTCATGGTGTGACGGGCAGGAGGAGGCGGTGGAGGAGGAGGGAGAGGAGACGGTGGTGAGACCGGACGATGCGAGCGGTTGCCAGCTGCATGGACGACAGTGGGCCTATGCAAGCAGACAGTGGAAGCAGTGGTCGTAGCAGAAGTCGACGCAGTAGAAGTGTTCGAAGTCAAGGAAGATGAAGAAGAAGAGAGAAGAAGAGGCGGACGAGGGTGAAACGGGGCTTGCTGGCCTGGGCGTTTTGAGGCGTCTCCGTCAGCGGTCAGGCGTCCATCCAGTCAGATGGTCTATTAGAGATGAAAAATGATGATGATATTAGAGATTGACGAGTAAAGACGAGATGATAGACATGAGATGAAAGAGAACAAGATGTTGAAGGGGAGAAGACGAGGAAGATCGAGTTTTGGTGGATCGAGAAGTCGTTTTGAGTATTCAACAAGTTGGGCTTCAATGGCTTCTGGCCCTTAATTACATTCATACCTTTATATCTTTATCCTTCTTTCTCTTCCGCTTCTCTTGAGTATCTCTCTTGTTCTACTCTCTATCTCTTCTCGTGTTCTACTCTATCTATTATCTCCTATCTCTAATCGTACATCCTCATCCTTACGTCCTACTCTCCTACAGGGGCCCGACAAGGCTCCCTGTCTGCAACCAACTAAGCATCTGCAGCTGCAAGTTCTTCCTCCTGCAGTTACTCCGTCTTCTCATCTCTTCTGTTATTTATATATTCATCATATATTCATTATCATTCATCATCCTTTATTTATTTTTATATTAAAAAAAAAACCAATTCAACTTTATTATATCACGTGATTAAGCCAGGCTTCAAGTTTTCCCTTTTAGGAAATATATAGATCTGCTTCTTCTTCTTCTTCTGCTTAATAGACACTGGAATTTCTACTTCTACACTTCTCCTCTTCTATACAGCTATACATCTAGACTTACTTCTCCCTCACCTTCCTCTTGTCGATGGATTAAAATGTCGACGCCGGCCAGCTCGAGCGTGTTCGTGGCTGCGGCCCTCGTTTCCATTAGCGCCCTGGTCCTCTTGCTGCTCCGTCACTATCTGCCTCTGCGCTCGACTCCGGCCTTCGTAGTACTGCCCGTCTTCCTCGCCCTCGCCCTACCGGCAAGCATCGTCCTTCTCGTGCCCATAGACCTCGCCTCTAGTCCGCCAGAGGGTCATCGGCCAGCTGGGATATGGCTCTCTTCACGTTTCATGCTCGTCTTCTGGCGCATCGCCTACTGGCTCACCTTTGTTCTCACCTGGTATTTCTCTCCTTGCTCTCTCTCTCTACTGTCCTACTCTCTGCTGTTATGCTAATTCCGGCATAGGGGAATACTGCCGTTCTTAGGAGAGTATTTAGACTCCGGCCATAGATCGCCGCGCGAACGCATGCTCTACTCCCTCCGTTCAAACGCCCGGTACCAGCTCATTCTCCTCTCGTCGGGCTTACTAGGTCTGGTATACCTTGCTCTCACACATGAGCTGCGCTTCTCCTCCCTCCGTGGGCTCGTCATGGCCCTCGCCTACGCCTGGGGCCTGGTTCTGGCCATATACCTGCTTGGCCATGGCCTGGTCGCCCTGCCTCGCAAGATGTGGCGAGCAGCCTGGACTGGAGACAGGCTGCGAAGGTTGCAGCAGCGTGCGGTCCGGGTGCACGATGCCCTCGTCGACACTGACAGCAAGGTCGAGGAGCTCAGGTCTCTGGTGGCCCAGTTGAGACGTAAGCGTGGGCTCAGCGCGGAGATGCAGGAGTGGGTTGACGAGCTGGTGGACGTAGCCGGTCAGGGCGGCAGCAGAGGGTCGACCGCCGCCGTCCGGAGCTTACAGAGCGAAGGCAGAGCTGTAGTGCCGCATGTCATCACGGATCGGTACATGGCTGGCCTGACCAGAGACCTCTACCGGGCCAGGCACAGGCACGCCAGATATACGGATGCCTGGTCCCGTCTCGTGCGTGAAGCACACGACTGCCAAACCATAATCGATGCAGCTACCTCGAAACAACTCGTCTTTGATGACTCCCTGTCGTCTTCTTCTTCTTTTTCTGCCGCTGCTGCTGCATGGACTTCGCACTCCCTCCTGACCCCTTACCTACGCTACCTACTCTACACCAATCTCCTACCAGCCATACGCGTAGGCCTCGCCTCCCTCTTCGCCTGCCTGTCCGTCTGCATCCTCTGGTCCGAACTTGTGCGCACGTTCTTCCCCTTTCTCTCCGTCGTCGCCCTCACCACTCCATCCTCTACCCCGGTTGGCTTCCCTTCCCAACTCCTCACCTCCGTCTGGCTACTCTATCTCTGTGCCGCCGCAGGAACAGGCATCTCGGACGCCCAGGTATGGGGTAACCGTGCCCTGGTCCCTCGCAACACATACCATGAGTCTGCGTGCTGGTACGCCGGCCAGATCGCCCGCCTCACTGTCCCGCTGGCGTACAACTTCCTCACCCTGCTGCCCCATGACTTGCAGCGACGGACTACCTTCTTCGACTTCTTGGGCAAGGGCATCAACCTTACGTTGATAGGGGAAGGTTTCGATCTCTTCTTCCCCCTGGTCATCCTCTTACCCGTCGCCGCCACAGTGTTCAACCTGTATGGCACGGTCAAAGGGCTGGTTGGACTGGGAGACATGGAGATCGATAACGAGGAGGAAGACAATCCAGCCGGCTACGGTACCGGCGGATGGAGGGAAGGACGTGCCCTTATCGAAACGGAGTTGAACGGCCCTGGATACCTGGGTCTGTCCAACACCAGGACGACAGCCACCCCCCGCAGCCTGCCAGACTCCCTGCCACGATACAGGGACACACCGACAGACCCCAGGAGAACCTCGCACCGACCCACACAGACCAACGAGCCAGCAGCAGACGCGGAAGACGAAGAAGACGAGGGGTTCTTCCGGTCCTTTGCTCACCGGGTTCGAAACACCATCGACACCGCCAGCACGCCCAAGTGGTTACAGGAGGTCGACGCTGGCTTCAAGCGGCCCCGATGGATGGGCGGCGGCGACGACGGCCCTTCTTCTTCCTCCTCTCCTTCAACGGACACCTCCGGTCTTGCCAGGTGGTTCGGCGGTGGCTCCGGTGGAGTGCGGCTCTGACACTATACCTTTCCTACTTGTCTCTATAATACTCTTTTCTTCACTCTACAGCGGCCATACTAATGCATTGCAAGGCGTCTTTTCACCCGGAGAAACATATTTATTAATGCTCTTTCAAATACAACTCTTAATAGAATTGTTCGTTCGAAAAGGAAAAAAAAAAAGAAGAACCCTTGCAGAGCCGCAAAGAGGGTGCTGTCTGGGCATGCATGAATACGTGTCTCGTCTCTACTTGAGCAGCCTTTTTATCGTCATTTTTAACTTGTGCGTTAATTGAATTATTGTATTGAAGTCTTCTTTTTTCTTTTACTCCTCATACTCTGGGTCCGTCGGTGTTTTCTATTGGCAGCGGTTCTTCCATTGCATGTACATACAACTAGCGCATCTCAACATCCATGTCTTTTTCTCTCTTTTCTCTCTCTCTTTTTTTCCCTCTTCTTCTTTTTCTTCTTCTTCCTCGTCTTCGTCGCCTCTAAGTAAAAATAGTGAGTAAGGGGAAGATCATGGCCACCCGCGAGCATCGTCGCAATGGCATCTGGGACGGGCCTCGCGACCAGGAGAACCACTACTACAACAACTACTCCTACTACGATCCCTATAGATACAGCCAGACAAGCTACTACAGCACCCCGCGCACATATAGCAGCAACAGTAACAGAAGCAGCAGAAGCAACAGCAACACCATCAGCCCAGAAGAAGCCCGTCGGCGCGCGCGGCACCTCGCCTCCCCTTCAGCGGACGACGGCGAACTACCAGACATCATCATCTTCAAGTACCGGAACGAGGCATGGAGCTTCGAGTATCCTGCCTTCTCCATCGACGACGGCAGGCTTCATATCAGCGACCTCAGACGGCTGGCGTGCGAGACGCTGCATATCGGCGACACAAGCAGGATAAAGCTGATGTACAAAGGCCGACTGCTCAACGACGACAACGCCAGTGCAAAGTCGCAGGGCCTGAAGCAGTTTTCTGAAGTCGTTGCCATCGTGATGCCAGGCTATACGGAGGGCGTGTACCGTGGAGGGAGTTATTATGCCAGCAGCAACATGGTCGATGGATGGAGGGAGGCAGAATTGATTCCAGTGTCCGACAGCGAGGAAGACGAAGGAGAAGCAGCAGGAGGAGGAGAGGAGGAAGAGGAGGAAGATGACGAAGAAGAAGAAGAAGAAGAGGACGAGAGGTATTACTTTAAGTCGTCTGCTCGACGAGGTCGCTCTCCTCCACCCATGCCTGCCCGCCAGGAAAGAAGACCGTCAGTCCGTCGCGAACGGAAACCAAGGGATCCTTCGCCAGTCTCGCCTGATAGAGGGCCTCGTCTTCGGACGACGAGACAGACTGCGCCGCCTGTCAGAGAGCCAGCAAGGGAGACAGCACCTCCGAAACAGAGGCCAAGTCCGAAGCAGACCGCACCAAAGCAGAAGACATCCAAATACCAATACCCAACGCCTCCCCTCCCGTCATCGTCTCCGGTCTCTTTCGACCCTTTGCCAAACATCTGCCGAGAGCCACGGCCATACGCAACATACTATCCCTCGCCGTCGGCCAGCAGCACCGCCAGCACGCCCACATATCCCTCTGACTCTACCTCTGCCTCTGCTTTTACAGCCGCATCTGCTCCTCCCACGCCACTCCCTACTTCCAAACCAGAACCAAGCGGGCCATACTCTGTGCCTAACCGCCCTCCTACTCCCTGCCCGGACTTCAAGGCGTCCCAGACATCCGATGAGAAGCTCTCCATCTTCGAGACACATGTAAAAGAAAAGCTGTTGCCGTTGTGTTACCAGTTCATGCTCCATCCACCAGCAGATGCCCGGTTACGGCTCAAGGAACAGAAAAGGCTGAACGAGGCGATAGAGAGGGTCCTCGCGAGAGCAGACGAGATCACCGTCGGTGACTCCAGGCCGTTGAGAGACCGGAGGAAGTCGATCGTGCAGCTGATTCAGCGGTCTCAGGGAAGGATGGATGACATGGTAGATGGACGATAAACATGTTAATGATGGAGTTGACTATGGGGGCATTTGATAGATAGATGGCATGGCATTGACATGACATGGTACGAAGTTATGATTCAAACACTGACACGACGTGATGACCTACTCTCCGCTTCTTCTTTTTTTCTTTCTTCTTCGTCTCCTTTAATCTTGTCTTTCTGTCGTGTCTCCTACATTTCAGCGGGTTTCTCGCATGTTCGCTTTCCTTCTTCATGTTCAATTGGAACTATTAAAACCAGTTACAAGATCCAAAAGTAATATTCACTTCCGACCTTGCTGGCTCTGATTTCCACTGCCAGCTTGACTTGTATTTGCATTTCGATCGCCTGCAGACTGAGCGCGCGCTGCAAAGCCGCCTGAAGACATGTCTTTCCCCCCAGTGGCCTTTTTGACGTGAGTAACAACACGGCGTGAGTGTATGGACGTATCAAGCTTACCTGAGACGACTGGATGCGCGAGGCATCTTCCTTGGTCATTGGAACGACGGGCATTTTGCTTGATATTGTATAGATGCTGTTGACTTTCTTCTAGCGAAAGTGTTTATGGAGAGTTGAAGAATTACCGCTGCGTCTTTGCAGTTTATATATATATATATATATCACGGTGGCAAGGGTGACGTCGCATCTTACGAGTTTTATAGATCTAGAACGGCTTGTAACTGTCAAGTGGCAGGAGAATCTAGATTGATATCACCATGAAACCATATATTCCCCGTTGGTGGAGAGTTGACCCATGGTTCTACCAGAGAGAGCATCAGTCGCAGCTGCATCTAATCGTCCCTAGCAAGTAGTCCGTACATGTTCCTTTTGAGTGATTCAAGACGACTCTGTTCTCCGTAGACGGCTCGTATACAGTTATCTTTTCAAAGTTATCCTTTAATACAGGCCAGATGGAGCAGGAGAAATTCGTGTACATCGCGCCCCATCGTCGAGAGATGCATCCAATCGTTATACGAGAGGCCGAGATTATTTTTCGCAAAGGCGTCCGCGGCATCTTCATGCTGCTCGCTGTGCCAACTTTCCACATCTATCCTGACTATGTCACGTCTGGAGCCCATCCAGGCAGCTGGAAGAAAATGCCATATGCAAGCATACAGCCTTCCAACTGTTTTATCGCGCGACTGCCCTCCGAGCTTGTCGCCATGATCATCAAGAACATCGACATCATCGACGTTCTCCACCTCGGGCTCAGCTGCCGCTACCTCTGGTCGATAGGATGGCATACAATCATACGGTTTGCCGTCAGCACTCTTGGTCTCTGGGCCGGAACGCCTGTCGTGTGTATGGGCCATCGGCATAGATACGGGAGCGACGCTCCTTATCCCAGAGGGCTGCTCTCCGAAGCCTTGCTGGCGGAGATGGACCGAGGACTGCGCCGGAACAGTAGGGCTCGAAGCCTGTCGATGGGAATGTACCCACTGGACAAACCCTTGAACCTCGGGCATCTAGCCTTTGACCGATTCGATCGGATCAGGGATATCGCCAAAGATAACCTGCCTCCTGACCTGACCGTGCCAGCCAAGCTGCATCTCAACACCCAGAGATACAGTCCCTACGACCTGCGGTACATCATCAACCAGTGTCCGTACGCCTTATACTGGACCCCGCCCGGCGAGATCTGGGTTCTCAGGAGCCAGACAGCGCGGGAGTACATCCGTTCGACATCCATCGCCATGCACACTGGATATATCCGCGGGCCGTTCATCCTGGGTATCGGCTTCAGCGAGGCCATCTGCCACCAGACCCTGTGGAATGACAATGTCTACAGGGGAGACTGGGCCGGCCATGCTCTTGACATCGTCCCCATGAGCCGTTTACGCAAAGACGGCGGACGGTGGAAGGATATCGGAGACAGAGTGGCAGAGCAGATCTATGCTAACTGGCGGAGTTTCTATGGCGAGACCTGGAGAGAGGAAGCCGTGAAGCTCGGGTGGTGATTCATGTCTAGACTTTAGAGCCTTGTAAATGCATTCTTATCATTATCCAGCCTCTGTAGACTTGGACGTCTTTGAAGCTCCAAACGTTGAGATTTCAAGTAGAAGAAGTCGAAATATTCCTAATCGGGCCGGATGAAGATTTTGCCGCCAACGCGAATGAAGAACCAAGTTGAAGTCGCAAAGAAGACGAAGAAGGAAGAAGAGAAGAAGAGAGAGAGAGAGAGAGAGAATATCTCATCTGAGATATACGACAGCAGGCGAACCGGCTGGAGGCTGATGCTGAAGCTGACGCTCTGCTCTTCCATCCTGTCTGGCTGTCTCTGCCGATGAATCTACAGCAGTTTGGGCACTGAAACAGCGCGACTCTCCAACTCTCCCGGAAGACGCGGCAGCAGCAGAAGAAGAAAAAGAAGAAGAGAAGAGAAGATGCCAGAGTCGAGTGCGCTGGGCGAGCTGTTCATCGAAGGCCCTTCTGATCCTGATGCGCAAGCTACGGTTACAGACTTCATCGACTACACTGAATATCTGCCTTCAGACCTCGTTCGTTCGCTGACCTTGATCCGCGGCCTCGATGAACGGTATATCAATGCGACAGCTTCCGTCCATGAGCTCACAAAGGTCTATGGCGAGCTTCCAACTCTTCCCGCAGAGTCTCGCCCGCAGCCTCATATACTTCGCAGGCAGATATCAGAGCAATTGCGACGCGCAGTCAACGCCCGTGAATCGGCCTATGCGGAGTCCTGCCGTCTCTACGACCTAGTGGATCACTATGTCGACCGTCTTGGGAGTATAAAGTCGAAGCTACGTGCGATACTGGCGAATCTAGATTTGGAAAAGGATGAAGAAGCTGCCGAAAAGAGACCAGGCACGGCCGAGGGAACAGCTACAACGCCACGGATCACCTTACGTGTGGACGGCCAGAAGTCTCAGGGAACTGTTCGGCGACAGGATACGGCAGTCCAGAAGAAAGGAAGAAACCAGAAGCTGCCGGCCACTCCTAAACCCGGTGTTGCGTTGTCGGAGACCCCAGGAACAGCGTCAGGTCTACTACCAGCTATACCCTCAGACCAAGCCTTGGAAACGACCAAGAAGGAAAAACAACCCAAGAATAGGAAGCCGGCGCGACCTGCAGATAAGCCGCCTACTGAAGCAGCTAAACCAGCCCCGATTTTGGAACCTCCTCCAGCAGACGCTGTGATCGGTGGTGAGTATAGGCCGTGGCTGCGACTGACGGAATGGGAAATGGCACGGCTACGGAAGAAGATGAAGAAGAACAACGTCTGGCAGCCCAGCGACGTCATGATCCAGCGAGAGCTGGCCCTCGGTGCTCGTGGCTGGGATGGCTATCTGGCCGCCAAACAAAAGGCCGAGGAAGAAGGCACCGAGTTTGTGGATTGCGATGATATAGCAAATACTTACTCCCCTGACCAGCCGGCCTACAAGGGCGCAGGCATGCCGCCGCAGTACAGGAGTGAGGAAAGCAAAACTATTCTCAATCGAGGTATGAAACTCAACGAAGCAAAGAAGCAAAAGCGTGAGAGCTTGGCCCGAGAACAAGCTGCTGCCCAGGCCGCAGCAGAGGCGGAAATGGCGGCAAAACGTCTTGGGAATATCGGATCTACCTTCAAGAATCTGTTCTCGAGCCCTGCACAGCCATCGCAGACACCGGCTCCCACTCTACCAGCACCATCTGCGCCATCTGCTGTTCCTGATAGCGCTCACACTGGACCTTTAGGCACTATTGACAATAATAATGCTTCTCTGGCTAATGATTCAACAGCTACGCCTAGACTGAAGATCAAACCGAGCACGTCCAAGAAGAGGAAACTCGATGAATTGGCTGATACCGCAGCTCCCGGACAAGAAAAGGGCACATCACGGCCTACATCTGCTGGCGCCAGCAGCCCATCCACCAACCCTCCTCCGCCGAAAAGGCTACAGCTTACAATGCCAGCTGCTGAGAATCCTTCCGCCGGAACGAAGAAAGCTTCCAAACCCACCATATCTCTAAAGCTCCCCGTCCTTCCATCAAAACCGGGCTCCAAGCTTTCTTCACCCATGACATCGCCTGCCGAGCCAAAATCGGCAGTCGAACCCTCGACCCGCCGTCGTCTCTCTGTTATCACCAAGGCTATACGCAGCGCCACTCCTCCGGGCGCAGCAACAAGGACATCGTCCCGTCGCCGTTCAATTACATCCACTTCAATTGATTCTACAACCCGTGAACGCCTTCGACGTAAAAGCACCACTCCAGCCGTCAAGGACCTCTCTCTTAACCAACCAGTCACACCAACCACCGCCGGCGCAGCATCATCGGCCGTAACAGCAGCTGGACGACGCAGCAAACGGCCTGCTCCCGGCCCTGTGACGGCCGGAGAAAACGGAGGCTCGGCAGTAAGCATAGGCAAACGCAAGGCCAAACCGGCAGTCAAAAAGAAAAGAGACCAAAGGGACAGCAATATATCGTCCAAGTCAGAGGATATACGTATCGACGAGGATGGTGTACTAGAAGAAATCGATCCGAACGAACCACGATACTGTCTCTGCGGAGACGTGAGCTTTGGAACCATGATATGTTGTGAATACCATGATGTGAGTGACGATGTTGCTGCTGCTTTGCTAAGTGTGTCGCTTTTGTTATCTATTTTGCCTTTTTCATATGAGTTCTTCTACAGTATAGTGACGCACCCTACTAACGCATATGTCCTATCCAGTGCGAGAGAGAATGGTTTCATCTTGACTGTGTTGGACTGCCTGAAGTCCCTAGCCGACTTGCAAAATGGTACTGTCCCGAATGCCGCAAAAAGCTGGACAAGGTACCTCCAGACGGCATTGTCCGCACAAGCAACCGGCGCTGAGCAGGTTTACTCCCTGAATAAAATAATAATAATAATACCACGACCCTAGTCAGTCCTTGATATATACTCTTTCGTTTCTTTTTTTCATTTTCATCGACATGGGGTTCTGGGATGGGGAGATACGGTTACTCTTATTTACTCTTGGAAGGGACCTTTTTTACGAATGAATGATGAGCCCGGAGTTCAACTTTTCAGTGCTTTCTTCCATTTACTTCCTTTCATCGTTATAGTTCTTGATGTTGCTGACCGGTCAATGAACGTCTCGTACAAAGAATTACAACACAGACGGGGTATCATAGACATCATCATTCCTATAGATGAGTATAAAGTGGCTAGACATCAGCCAAAAGGGGGGGAATCCAATCAACGAGTTAACGTCGAGTCCACAAGGCCAGATGGACGGAAGAATCAAAAGGAGAATCAGAACGGTGTAAGGGGTCGCGAGTGTAAAATAGAGGAAGTAGGATATATGGAACGCAGCAAGCAGTGCAAAAGATGCTAAAAACGCTGCTAGATCAGTCATATAAGTCTTTAATCGCATTCCGCTTCTCCTGCCTGCTGCTTGTGAGAGAAACAAACTCCTCATTGGGTTGATGTATATATATATGTAAAGTAACAAGCAAGTATGGCAATTGGAAGATGAAAAGAGAAGACACAGAGCAGTAAAAGAAGAGAGAGAGAAAAAAAGGATGAGAAATATCAAATATCCAAGAGGTTTCCGTTCATTTCGTTTCCAAAGTAAATAAGTCATTCCACCATTCCTCCGTCCGTAAGTAAGGAAATGGGTTTTTAGTAAGAGGTAAAATAGAAGAGAGAGAGAGAGAAAAAGGGGGTGTGGGGCTGGACAAAAGAAGGGTAAATAAATGGGATCAATGGTCACTCTTCCATGCGGCCAAAGACACCGTCGTCGTCGTCATCCATGTGTACGACCGAAGACGGAGAGCCACGGTCTGAGTCGTCGTCCGGCGAGCCTGATTTTGGAGCGTGGTTGTCCCTTGGGCTTGCATGTTCGGTGATGTCTGGCTTGATGTCGGCCATCTTGACGTCTCGCTCGTCCGAGACACGGTATGATATGGGTGTATGTGTGTTCATGGGTAGGGCATCAAAGGCCGTTGGTGTGGACGCAGCGAGGTTGGCGGTTATAGTTGCTCCGGAGATACTGCTCCCACTGTTATTATTTGATAGGTTCATGTTCATGCTGTTGCTGGAGGCGGTGCTGTTGCCACTGAAGAAGCCGTCTGTCTGGTTGTTGGCTAGTGCCATTGTGCTGCCGACGCTCTGCCCTAGGAACCGAGCTGGCAGGGGTGGTACGGGAGGGACGTCTTCGGGGATGGACATGGGTCCTGATCTGGGAGTGCCAAAGTTGCAGAGCTCGATTGCTGCTGCGAGACCGGCTGCGTCGTCGTCGAGGACGCCATTGGTATCCGCGGTCGACGGTCTGGTATCTGTGCTTGATTGGCGGAAGTGAGAGTGTGTGGGCGAGTAAGAAGGGACGCTGCTTCCACTGGCGAAGGAGGCCGAGGGTATGGACTGGAGGGAGCGTGAGAAGGAGTGATTATGATTATTATGATTAATATGGTGATTATTATAACTGCTAGGGTAGCGGTAGGGGTCGCTGGACTTGGAGAAAGCGCCGTCGTCGCTCGTGGGTGGTGGAGTGGTCTCAGTCGAGCTGAGGCCGTCGCGGAGTTCAGATATGCCAGAGACGGTGGGAGAGGCAGACGAACAGTCAGAGTCTCCGCTCCCGCTGGCTGCTGTGCGCGAGGCTGTGTCTTCGGAGGAGGGTTCATTGAGCGTGACGAGGACGCTGGCGGCTTCGAGCAGCTGGACCTGCTGGTGTTTCGATATGAGGAGTTTCGAGGTCACTGCCCATGCCGGGTCATGTTCCCACCTATCCAGATGTCAACATCGTTGCCAAAGTAATTATTGATCTATAGAGGTATATAGATGTATGCATGGGTTAACGGGAAACGGGGTATACGCACATATGCTTGGTCAAGCAGCTGCTATGCTTATACCCCTTCCCACAGCGGTCACACTTCAACTCGACGAGAGACCTCTTGCCCTCAGCCTTCATCAGATGGGAACCCTCACTCGCCCGCCGGCTCCTGTGTCTGATGCTGACCGGCCTCCCACCCGTCGACAGCTCCTCGGCAATGGCACTGGTGTTGAGCGAGGGGGTCTGCTTGCGGTCGACTGCCACGCCATTCCTGGCGGCATAGGCCCCAAACCCAGACGGCGAGCCTACGGAGGTCGACTCGAGACCGGCCGCCCGCCTCAGACTGAGCCCTCGACGGTGGTGGGAGGTGTGTATGGGTGCCCCTGTGCTGGCGCCAGACTCGCTGATGATGGCGGCCGTGGCAGCAGCAGCGGCGGCGCTGCTGCTGTTGGCAGACGAGGTCATGCTCTTCCGTCGAGTGACACGGTGATTGTAGTTTAGAGCTCCCAGGGAGACAGAGTGCGAGTGTGTACGGCCATTGCTGGCTTGGGGCAGCGGCCGCGAAGAGTCCTGCTGGTAGGGGGAGTTTGTTAGTCTTGCCACCAGCAGCACAAAACGAGCACAAACGACGAGAACAACGACGAGAACGGGTGAATTGGAGTATCATCGAGCCGCAGAGAGCCATCTCTAGCAGCGTACATACCTTGAACGACGCCATCCTGGGGCTGAGAGGTGGAAAAGGGCGAGTGAGATGGCTGGTTTCGTCAAGGCAGAGAGGAAAAAGGGTGTAGGTTTTTTTTTTTTTTATGAAGAGGAAAAAAAAAGAGTGACCCAGAGCCGGCGCCAGGGGCAAAAGCTAAGATCTCGGCAAGGCGACGACAAGGGACGAAGGGCTTTAGACAGGCATTTCTTCGTGAAGCATCGAGGGTGAGGATGTTGGTAGAGGTCGAGAAGTCTTGCGGTTGGCGATGTTGAAGTCGAGATGAAGAAGATGAAAGTGGAGAGAAAGAAAAAGACGACCGGGTGGATCTTCGGGTTATTTTTGGTCGTAGATCATGAAATACGATGGATTATATATAATAGAAGATATATCGTTATAGGTGAAGATATAGCGATGAAGTGATGAAGTTGGCCTCCATCTTGAGTGAACAGCCAACAACGTCCACTTCACGTCGATTACATCTATTCTCTCTCAACTTCCAATGTTTCATACACGCTTCAGAAACGAGGACGAAGGGGAGGTGGAAGACCGTCTGGCCAGTTTCCTGCCCGTCCTCTACCCAGAGTCTGCGCCGTCTTGCGTTGGACAGCCGGGCCAGCAGCTCGTCTACTCGTCTTCGATCTTTGGAGACCTCGCCTTGTCGATACCAGACTATTCACGGGAGAAGGCAGATACGGACACAGATACAGAAGCAGGAGAAGGAGAAGGACAGGCAAGGAAGAAAACTACACCGGGAGCAGAGGTAGAGAAGGCTCGCAGGCTGTTTGCTCACTATCTCTGGGGCTCTGGCTTGCTGGTGACGGACGGGATAGAGAGAGATTCCTCTGATGCTGCTTCGGCTCCAGCTTCGACTTCATGGAGTGTACGAGGGCACCGGATCCTTGAGCTCGGTGCAGGTAAGTCCCCCGTTTCACTCGAGCCTCGACTTCAAACACGCTATAACCAGAGATAACTACGCCCCGTGGGACGATGTCTAGGTGCCGCCCTTCCCTCCATCGTCAGCGTGCTCGCCGGTGCAGCGTCCGTCACCGTCACGGACCATCCGTCAGCTCCAGGCCTGTACGGGCCCATCCAGTCGAACATCAAGAAGAATATACCCCAGCACCTCGCAGACCGTATATCAGTGCAGCCGTACCAGTGGGGGGTCTTTGAGGGGAGCGTCAGCGTAGACGAGGAGGAGCTGGAGACCAGCCATCTGGCTCGGATGGCTGGCTTTGCGGCCGCCAACAGAGGTCGGTTCGGTCGTGTCATCTGTGCGGACTGTCTGTGGATGCCATCTCAGCATGAAAACCTCATTCAGACGCTGCTCTGGTTCCTGAGTCCGTCGTCGTCTTCTTCTCCAGGTATAGCGTGGGTGGTTGCTGGGCTTCACACCGGTCGAGATATCGTGGCGTCCTTCTTTCAAAAGGCAGTGGCCTCGGGCCTGGTGGTCGAGAAGATGTGGGAGAGAGACATGAATTCCGCAGAGGGAGAGCGGACGAGAGAGTGGAAGGCCGTCAGAGAGGATGAAGGGCCGGAGAACAGAGCCAGATGGTGTATCGTTGCCATGCTGCGAAGGTAGTGCCTCTTTGGCAAGACGAATAATAATTGTTTACTTCTATTGCTGTTTACTTCCGTGTACTCTCTGGAAACAGATCGTGCATACTCCCTGCCCTTCTTGCCCGCCGAACTGAAACTTGGGATATTCAACCCGGTCATACACCCTGAAGCCATCACCGCCGCCGGTAAACCATGCCACCAGCTCACTCTCCGTCCAGTTGCAGCTGGTGATAATAAAGAACCCGCTCTCCTTCACCAGCCGAAGCGCTACACCAGGGTACTTCTCGCATATCCTCTCGTCCCCGCCTTCTCCGGACAGGGACACAGCATCAAACGTCCCCTTGTCGAGCACGATATCAAACCCGCCCTCCTCGAACGGGAACCAGTCCACATCCTTACCAAAAACACCATCGCGAATGTCCGCTTCGTGCTTCGGATCAAGAATATCCCATACCTCGAACCGTATTCCTTCAGAAGCGGTCTCGCCCACCAGCCGTCTAGCCAACTCGATGCTCTTGATCGAATAGTCCACTCCCACCATCGGGCCGTCAAACCCTCCTTCTTCGCGTAGCAGAGTCAACATGCTTCCGTTTCCCGTCCCCAGGTCGAGAATCGAAGGCTGTCCGCTGTCTGTCCGCGACTGACCTGGTGCGAGCGGGAAGCGCTCCGAGGCCATGAAGTCGAGCACCTTTTGAGGAGCGTTGTGTTCTGTAAACCAGGACGTCCCTACGTCGGAGTCGGAGTCTCCTGCTGCTTCGTCTTCGTCTTCATCTTGCTTTTCATGGCGTGTCCTTCCATCTCGTTTAGTAGACAGATAATGGGTGAGTGAGTTGTCGTAGAACGATTCCCAGCTGGGTCAAATCAGCCATTGCGATCTCCGTAGAAGTAGGATGGCACTCACTATTCCTTCGTCCCTAACTCGCTGGGCTCGAGATGCTGGGGGTGAGAACCGTCCTTCTTTGCCTCCAAAGACATCTTTCTCTCCTTCTCACGGTCGATATATTATATTCTCATGGACTTGAGTTGCTTCTCACGATTCGGGTGTTTGTAACTTCTCCACACACACATAATATTGAGATCGCATAGTTGCCTACAGGCGATGGCTAGACCCTTGTATTATCTATATCAAGGCTTTCCCTTTTCTCATCCTCATTATTCTTGCCATCATCTACATTGCAGTGATCTTTTTCTCTCTTTTTAGGGTGGTGTATAGTTACATATATGGTGGTTATGCCCGACTACGTCGAAGGCAACGTTGAAAGATCCTCATCATGGCCATAAAAGTGGTCATAATCTTATATTATATAGACTAATAGTAATACCCTAGGCTACTAACTCCTGACATTGAAGACACAAATCACGGAGGACCGGATACTGAAAGACATCGCGGACGGTGAACTCAAGGCCCCTAGAGCGAGCCACTGCCACGATACGCATGGCTGCAATCGAGTCGCCGCCGACGCGGAAGAAACTGTCGCTGGCGCTGATGCGGTCCTTGTCCTCGACCTTCAGCACTTCGGCCCAGAGACTCTGCATCAGACACTCCTTTTCTGTTCGAGGAGGAACCCGACTGTCGACAGAGGCCCGGTTCAGTGCCTCGACATCCCGGGCTGCGAGCGAGGCTGCCATCTCGCGTAGCTCTCGCCGGTCCGCCTTGCCTGTCGCTGTGATAGGGATGTGCCGGATCGGGATGTAGACTGAGGGAAGCATGTGTCGGGGTAACAGCTCTTCAAGTTGCTTCCTGATCCCGGCCATCGTCTGCTGAACCAGGCGGGCCGTACTTCTCCTGCTCGTCACCGTTATGGCCATTGATATTCTCCGTGCCGTCCAAAGCCACGAATGCCGCAAGAGCCTTGTCCGGCATGCCAGGCAGCTGGACGAGTTCAGCTACGACCTGCACGTTACCGTTACTTGCCAGTGTTCCCGCCTCCTTCATAAACCTGATGGCGGTCGCGCGGATGTGATGTTCAAGGTCTCCAAGCTCAACCCGCTGGCCCCTAACCTTGACCTGTGTGTCTCGGCGTCCGAGGAAGACAAGTGAGCCATCCTCGGTGTATCGTACCAGATCTCCAGTGCGATACAGTCTCCCGCGACGACCTGGACGACTGCCGTCCGGGGAGCCACGCTGAAGCCATTCGGGATCGCGGATGAAGACTCTTGCTGTCCTTTCGGGGTCGTTGAGGTATCCTTCGCCGACAAGCGGGCCTTCAACCCAGAGTTCGCCAACAGCGCCAACAGCTGCCAGTGCTTGGGGGTTCTCAAGGTCAACAATCCATGTGCACACTCCTACTCCTCGACCAATTTCCCCTCCTTCTAGGCTTTTGGCTCGATGCAGGATCGTGCTGGTTGGGGTACACTCTGCTGGACCATAGGCCACGATCAACTCTGTGTCCTCGCCGACCAGATCTAGGTCGTCCGGTGAAATTGCTTCACCTCCCAAAACCAAGGTTGATAGCTTGGAAAGCGCAGATTTGGGCTCCACAATGCGTGCAACTGAGGGGGTCAGATCAAGAACGGTTGGCCGGTACCTTTCTAGACAGCCACTAAGGTCATTCTCAAACTCCTCAAGGGATGGGATGCAAAGACATCCGCCTACACCTAGTGCTCGGAGTAGGTTTAGCCAAAACACATCGAAGGCATACGATGTAAATTCCAACACCCTTGATTGACTATCGAAGCCCAGAAAATTTCCTTGGTGAGCAATTGCGCTATAGAAGTTCTGGTGCGTAATCACTACCCCTTTAGCATTTCCAGTGGTACCAGAAGTAAACACGATATAGAAAGTGTCAGATGGGTAAACGGTAGGCCACTGCGGAGCAGCTGTCCTAGAAGCAATAGGGAGAAGTAGATTGTCCCCTACTAAATGCACTTCACCTCCACCCAGGCATTCACAGAGGCTTTTGTTTGGCATAGATGACAGTAAAAGCCTGGAGCTTGAACTGGCAAAGACCTGAGCTATAATTGAGCGAAGCCGTTGCTCTGGGAAAGCGGTGTTGATTGCCACAGATGCTGCTCCAACCTTCATGACCGCCAGGGCAGCAACCGGCATCCATTTGGATTTATGGAAGCAAAGGGGAACAATGCTTCCTCTGCCGATACCTTTGGAGAGGAGCTGGTGTGCTAGCTTTGATGATAATTCATGCAGTTCGCTATATGTTAAATCCCCATCCCATGCATTGACAGCAGTAAAATGCGGTCGCTGCATAACTTTCTCAAGAATTAAGTCATGTACACAGCCTTCAGCTGATGGTGGTAATTCAGCATTCCAGGTCCAAATATCATTCAAGTCGCGTTGACTTGCCACTGTCACATTACTCAGGTTGTCCTTTTGCCGATTAACGTCGAGTAATTGATGGATAACGTGTTCAAACCCCTGGATGAGCCGAAGAGCTCGATCCGCATCAACAACCCGGGAGTCAAAATTGATGCTAATCTTTGTCTGCTTGCCTCTTACCTCCATTTCAACTATCATAGCATATTGGCCTCCTCGTATATCTGAACAAGACTTTGTGTCTCCGTTGGTGATGTTAGATATCTTATGACTCTCCTTTTCTTCCTTTCCAGGAGAGCGGATTGCTATCAAAGTTTGGAAATTGCATGCGAAGGAGGCTTCATCAGAGACGCGAGAGATCTGCTCTAAGCACATCCGCTGGAAGGGCACCATTTCGCGAAGCTGCTGCTCCGCCTTTTGGAGGAAGTGAAGGATGCTGTTGTCCCAGTCGAGCATGACGCGGACAGGTAGTATATGTTTTATCCTTTCACCGTCTCTAAGACCTGCTCCAAACAAACTCTCGTCGATGTGTGAGATACGTGCCGTTAGTATAGCCCAGGCAGCCCTAGCTATCACATCTACCGCGAAATCACATCCGGCAAAATCAAGGGTTTTCGTGCTCAGATGTACCTCCTCATCATGTTCGATCTGAGAGACAATTGCTGGCTTGACCTCGGGAAAGTGTCCGCCTCGAGTGCCAGAAAACTGATCTTTCCAAAAGGCTTCTGCAAGGGCCTTTTCAACACCGCACATCCTTGCAAAGAACTGGTCAAAGGGTGATGATGACCCCGCAGCCTTGTGGCTATTGACGACCAAGGACTCTTCCTCCAAGTTACAATTTTCATTGTTGATGTTAAAATCGACATCTAGAAGATAATCAATTGCCTGATTTAGGGTCTCATAAACCTGCTGAGCCACTCGTCGGGTAATATATGGCTCCCGGAATTCTATCAAGAGATCGGTGTAGCCTACACTATTTACTGAGGCGTTCAGATTTAGATCATACTATAAGAGCTTTTGTGTCAGTTTTAAACCCCTTTAAATCTTGATGGGCGAAAAACATTCGTCCTACCTCATGGTTATCCTCGTCGTCTAGTGTTATGAATGAAATCCGGTGTTTGGGAATTTCATCCTTGGACATATAGCGAATCGAAAGGGATGTATTGAACAGCCGTTTCCCGGACAGCCCAAGGCGGTGGAGAACCTCTGCTATAAACACGTTTTGAATGGCCATGTTCTGCTCCGACCTTTTGGAGGCGTTTTGGAGAACCTCTCTTACAGGCGGACCTAGGTCAATCCGGCTAATAAGAAGGTTGGCCAATGGCCCGACCATTCTCTCTACTCCGTCAATTGGGGCATCACGGCCTGAGGTAAGATAGCTAAAGCAGACGTGCCTCATCCCCGTATGATGAGATAGGGTTATGGCCCAAGCCACTTGCAGGAAAGAGGATATCAGAATATTTGACTTTTTGCAATAATCCACAATGCCGGCTTTGGAATATGGGGTGGAACTAGATATCTCACTAAAGGTTTCAGGTATCATTTGTCCTTGGAGTGGTGGTAGGGTGGGAAAGTTGCAAGGTTGGGTTCCATCTAGCAGTGCCGCCCATGTGGCCGTAGTTTGTGCCCTAGGGGTTCGGTCGATGTAACGGATAATGTCAACAAAACTGGGTGCTGCTTCAGGGAATTTTGAGCCATCATAAGCAGCCGCAAACTCGTTCAAAAGGATCCACATTGAATGAGCATCATTCATAGAATGATCCATATCAAGTCGAACCGCCACCTCACTTGTTGAATTTGACCGGCATATGGTTAATGTGTGTTGAGGTTCGCTGGGCGCGAAAGATGGAGTTTCCATTTTAGTCAATATCGTAGCCGGGTTATTATAGTCAGTATCTATCTGAATCACGCGAACCGGCGGTTTATCTAGAACCATCTGAATAAAACCGTTGCCCTCAGGATGAAGAGTAAATACGGAAGAGAGCACTGTGTGCCTGCTGGCCACCAATTTCCAGGCTAACTCTAGTCGTATGGGACAGACGGTCTCACCAACTAACATACAGCGATAGACAGTGTGCGTGTGGTATGAAGCAACCCCTTTAGCTGCACTTATCAACATACCCTCTTGTAAAGGTGAACAGGGGTAGATGTCTAGGATCGATTCCGGCCTTATACCCATTTGAGGAATCTGTTGATCAAGAAGGATATCCAGGCCTTTGTATGAAAGGGAAAGCAGAGGTAAATCACTCAACGTGAACTTAGTTGATGCTTGGGCTAGGTCATGGGAAAGTAATTCTAGGTCTTGTGTGAAGTTACGAACCCACGTTTGGAGGCGGCCCTTGTCCATCATTTTGTGGAAGACAAATTCAACTTTCAATTCGCTGTCAGTCACACCCGCCTCAATATCAATCATTGAAGGGCGCCGTGCCGACTTGGAATTCTCAGTTATTGTAAGGTCCGAATCTCCAGGTTCTGAAGATGGTGATGAATCAAATAGCCCATTCTGCTTTTCAAGCTGTTGGAATCGACCTGTAAAGTTGAATACAATCTCAGGGGAATCATAGGGCTCGAAGGCCAGGCGGCCAGATTCACTGTGGTATCGACAGGCCGCAAATGGCTGTCCCTTGCCGGGTACCTTTCGCCGTGAGTCTTTGACTAACCGGACTATGTCTCGAGCTAGAGAATGATTTGGGCTGATCGGAATGGCTAGAGGGTAGATGGTGGTAAACCATCCAACGGTACCGGAGACATCGATTGGCTGCGTACTAGGTTGCTCACGTCCGTGGCCTTCAACCCAAATCGCAGGTACGCTGCGCTCCGGAAATGTATGGGTAAATGAGTGGAAGAGAGCACTAAGAATAAGATCGATACCCTCCGTTCTAAAAGTATCGTTACTCTTCCCGAAGAGTTGGGAACTGACCTCGGGAGTAAAGGCTATATCCACAGACTCAGATTGGCCAAAGGTGTTCTCCTCTAATGGTACACCCCAAAAGTTTAGCTGAGGTTCGGGGATGGAGTAAGGGAGCACTTCCAGCGGTGATAACGTGCGTCCTACTTGGGCCTGATGTGCACACCAAGCCTGGAAAGACAACGTTTCAGGAGACCGGAGCTTTCCAAATTGTAGATGATCCTCCAAGTCAGCCCAGATAATCCGCCAGGACACTAGATCCATTACCAAATGATGGGCAGAGAGCAAGAGCATCTGACTGCCCTTTGGAAGGTTGAACAGATCGCAGGCAAACACAGGGCCTTGTTTAATGTTCATATTCTCCTGTCGCCGCTGAGCTGCAATGCCTACTGAGGCATGGTCTTCCATTGTATGCTCCGCAAACCCAAATGACTTCGTACCATGCTCAACAATCCTTTGTTTCCAGGTGTTCGTTTTTTGGTCTTTTTCGAAGCGTGCACGTAGCATTGCATGGCGAGAAACGATTGCAGATATGGCGCCTTCGAGTGCAGTTACAGACACAGGATCTTTTAGATCTAAGAGGAAGGACTGATTATAATGGTTTAGCCCCTCTGGGTAGGTATCAAAGAAATTACGCTGAATCGGGGATAGATCGAACAAGGACATTGGGTCTTCGAGACTAGTGGCTGAATAATTCTGAGAAGAAGCTGCCTGGCATCTTTTGGCTAAATTCCGGATTGTGCGTGATAGCAAGATATCACTTACAGTCAAGTGAATATTATGCATCCGGCATTGGGAAACGACTTGCATTGCTGAGATAGAGTCACCCCCCAGCCGGGAGAATGCAACATCAACAGATGCCTCCTGTTGTGACAGATTGAGAACAGACATCCAAATATTTTGCAAGATCGTTTGTGTTTCATCCAACGGCTCGTTGCAGTTGCTATTTATATCTTCCTGATTTTTCCCTTTCCGTGACATAGAGGATTTAGCTTCCAAGAGCAGGGTCTTGCCTACAACGCGAAGACACTTCCGGTCTGTTTTACCAGTAGCCATCATGGGGATATCCTGTAAAGGAAAATATATGGCAGGAATCATGTATGAAGGTAGTAGTTCTTCCAGTCGACTAGCGAACCCGTCAATCATCTGTTGCACTGCAGTGTTATGTGAGTCCTTATCCATAGTTTGAGATCCATGGAGGGCTATAAAAGCCACCAGTGTAAGGCCGCTAGCCTCAGGGGACTGTTGGATTGCTTCGACAACAACTCGGGTTGTGGGCTGCTGAATGATCTGACGGATAACACTTTCGACTTCGCCTAGCTCAACGCGTTGGCCTCGAATCTTGACCTGGTGGTCTTTCCGGCCGATGAATACAATATTTCCGTCTGCTTCATATCGAACCAAGTCGCCTGTGCGGTAGACACGTCCACGGCGTCCAGCTTTCTGTACGAGCCAGATAGGGTCTTGAACAAAAGCAGCAGCGGTCTTTTCAGTATCGTCAAGGTATCCGTCACCAACAAGAGGCCCTTCGAGCCACAGCTCCCCAACCGTGCCTATTGGTGCCAGCTGCTGTGGGTTGCCCTCCTCTACAACCCAGGTACACACACCAACGCCGCGGCCAATCCTAACGCCAGTCGCATCCAGCGGGGAGAGAAGGGTTGTTGGAGTGCACTCTGCTGGACCATATGCATTAATGATCTTAGTATGATCGCCAGCTAGCAATACATCGCTCGGTAAAATAGTTTCTCCACCAAGAATCAGTGTAGTTAGTCTTGACAGCACTTCTCTGCCTAGAGCTCGAGCCAGTGAGGGTGTTGAGTCCATTAGGTTAACTTCGTATTTTGTTAAACAACCAGCCAAATTGTTTTCGCGTTCCTGTGAGGATGGAATACACAAGCAAGCACCTGTTGTCAAGGTAAGGAAGAAATTGGACCATACGACATCGAAGGCATACGAGGCGAAGTCAATCACCCGGGATTGGCCATTATATCCCAGTGCCTTCTGCTGATAAGCAATAGCAGTGCAGAAGTTTTGGTGAGTTATACGGACTCCCTTTGGAGTTCCAGTACTGCCGGAAGTAAAGACAACGTATAAGAGGCTCTCAGGGCGAACTACTGGTAGTTTTGAAGCCCCTTGCCAATTATTGGCATCTAGGTGGTATTGGTTCCACCCAACTACAAACTGCTGACGTCCAAGCGTCTGAGCTATAGCCGAGTTTTGTTCTGAGCATATCAATACGGGTGAGTTGGTCTGGGATACTATCTGGGCCAACCGTTCATGCGGCTGCTTCATGTCCAGAGCCACCAAGGTCCCACCAGCTTTCATCACAGCCAGAACTGCCACGGGCATCCAGAGTGATTTTTCAAACAATAGCGGTACTAGAGTCCCCATCACTCCCATTTCAGCAAGCTTACATGCAAATATGTTGGATGTTTCAATTAATCGTTGATATTCCAACGTCCCATCCCAGGCATGTATCGCCAGGGATCGAGGGCACTCCAGCGCCTTGTCCTCAATCTTAATATGAACGCATTCATAAACAGGCTCGGGTACTTGTGAATTCCAAGTCAGTACGTTAGGTATTCCTCCCAACGAAAAAGACGATATCGATGCAATTGCATCTCCTAGCTTTTCCTGCCCGTTGACATTGCCTGCCAAGTGCTGGAGGATTTTCTCAAAGTCTTGGACAACGCGAGTCATTTCTGGTTTGGGGATAAGACGGGTGTCGAACTCCATATTTGCGTGGATTCCATTAGAGGTCAGCCTACAGTCTATATCAACTGTGTACCTGCCATTGCACTCTCGAGGTTCGATTGGCGGACGAGCTAGTTCACTAAGAAAAGGCCTCCCTGGGAACTGGAGATCATCTGATAGGATAGGATGAATGACAAGAAGGGAGCGGAAGCGGCACGCTGTCGCAGATTCTTCGCTAATATGGCGTATGTTTTGTAGGCCTGTTTGTTCAAAAGGAATCATATCGGCCGCCTGATGCTGCACTGCTTCCAAAAACTGATAGGTGTTTCGTTCCCAATCCACCTTCACCCGGACTGGAACTGTGGCAATGGCAGGGCCTGCCATCTGTTCAATTCCTGGGACTGCTGCCTGGCGGCCCGTTACTGTCACGCCGTACAATGCTTCGTTGGTGCCAGCACGAATGGCCAACACTAACGCCCAGGCAGCACGAACAATTGTGGCAGGTGTGAAGTCGCTGCGCCCCCAATCTAGTCCAGACACGTAATGCGTCATAATCGTAGTTAGGACATTTGGGGATGGATCTGTATAAGCTGATAGGCCTACCCAAGGGAAACCCGTTCCTTGTATTCCAGCAAACTGGTCAGTCCAGAACCGGTGGGCGATGATCTTGTCAATCTCTTGAATATATTTGATATATGGGCCCATGGATAACAGTTCAGGCCCAGTTTCGCGATAATAAGCACACTCAACATCATCAAGTATCAAAGGGATAGACCATCCATCAAAGAGGGCGTGATGTATTTCCCAAACCAAGTAGCAAGGCGCTCCTTTCTCCCCACTAACTATAGCGAATCGGCTCAAAGGGTCTCCTAGGTCCATGGGGAGCTCTTTTGGCGTAGCTCGTTGCTGGTATTTGTCGAAAGTGGATTCGAATATCCACTGCACCCCTTCGTCAAGGACAACCTGCATAATCCCGTAGTTCGGTAAACTTACAATCCGTGTACGTAGTATGGGATTCATCGCTATTACTTGATCCCAAGCCAGCCTTAACCGCCCAATATCGATGACTTGATCAATCTTATAGATAAATCGCTGTACGTAGTCATTTGAATTGTTGCGTGTTAGGGCGAGCATCCCCTCTTGCAGTGGGGTACAAGGAAAGATATCCAGCACCTGAGATTCCTTCACATGACAGAGATAGGCGGCATGGCTGCGAGCTTTCCGTGTATCCAAGGAAGGCCTCAGTAATGAAAACGGAGGGATGACTTTGGGGTTAGGCGAGCTGGCGAACGAGCGAGCACGGGCGGACAGGTCTGCTAGACGCGAACATCGAAAAATATCTCTCACGGTTAAGAATAGCCCGTGCTCTGACATCATCTGGCTAAGTTGTAGGGCATTAGAGGCCGAGCCGCCACACTGAAAGAAGTCATCGTATTCTTCAATACTATTAAGATTCACTCCAAGCAATCGAGACCATAGAGTTCGTATCGGACTCTCCAGCTGCAGATTTGCGGGCTCAATAAGTTGTATCTCTTCTGAGTAGGAGGTAAACCCTCCCTTTGCGGTGATTAGAAAGTCATCGTTGACCAGAGGGTGTAACTCTCGATTAGAAGGCAATTCGTCGTGAAATTGCAGAATTGAAAGAGGTAGCATGGTATATATCCCGTATTACTCGACGTAGATACAGAAAAGTAAGTCGTAGTCAGGGTAATTAATAAAGGCTTATTCCATACCACTCCCACCGACAATATTGTGGCATATCAAACCCTTTATATAGGCAAAGTAGCTTTTGTAACCTCAATAGCCTCAAAAATCAACTTGGGCCAAGCTGATTGATCCTTTCATGGCCTCCACGTCATAACCGCATGGGCAATACATTTCCGTAGATCTTACTTCTCTTAATCTCACTTCCTTTTTGGTCCTTTACCAGGGTATCCATCATTTATTTGCAGGATCTTGTCCAGCCAGCCTAAGGGGAAAAAAGAATATCAAGGTGAGGTTCCACGGCTCCTGGACCGTGCATCCATCGGTTCTCAGAGCCCGACATCCTACTTTCTGCTGCAGTTATGTGAGCATCTACTGGTAACATAGTTGGGTGGCCCTTTCAATACCCGTGTCTCTGCGTAACCGAGCTATTGCACTGTTTCTCAACGGTCTCACCCATACAATGGCATAGCTGCCATATGGGTTCTCATTAGCAGAGAAAGGGAGTTTGTCTGGTCTTATATTTATAGTCATAGGCCGAAGGCATTTCCTTTGGGCGGATCAAAGCGACACGAAGGACGCGAGACCGCTTGTCTGGGGGGTGACGATCCATAACTAGTTAACTAACCAGGCCAAATGACCAATTCGCAGGGTATCACACGAGATATTTTTAGTCCATAGTCAAAAACAATGTTAATTAATATCAATGCCAAAGAGTATGTCTTCAGAGTTGGTTGAATATCAGCAACAAAAAAGACAGGTGAGGTTACACTTTCATGGGGTCCTTTATGATCATGTGATCAGATGTGGTCTCGCCCAATAATTGTGCGAGGAAAAATCTTCGTCTGGACAGTTTCAAGATACTGTGAGGTCTTCCTGTCACTACATTGCCAATAAAGGTCACGGAGCACAATAGTTGATATGTGTTTAACGGACTAGGTATTAGTTACCCCTTCATTAACAGCTCTCGAAATTCAGCACAATATGGTCATCGACTCTTCCGCCTTGTATATCTTGTGGAATGCCATCCATTGATCTGAAAATTCATATGATATCCGAACTCTGCTTATATTTATATCAGCTCTTGACTGAAGGAAGTGTTTTCCTCTATGAGAACGATATACATAGTAAAGTTGAGTGTGAAAGTGAGCGATATTCACAGCAACAATCAACTGAATTTACTCTGTACAATTAGATGAGTCATTTCAAAGGTCAGCCTCGAAGTCCTTGGCTTTAAAACCTGCCTAAACGAGGGTTGAAATGAAGCTGGTTACCCTGGACTCGGTCTTTTAACAAGAAAAACAAAAGCTATCCTCTGGTGGGGGCTTAAAAAAGAGGCTACTTGTATGACCGGTTCGATTTCACCCATGTCCGGGTGAGCTGAAGGAAGACCCCTTGCCCATACTTGCAAAATGGTTTCGATTCTTGCCGAACAGCCGTCTGTAACCCTTCCTATTGAGCAAGGCCAGGGACCGGTTCGGTGTAATAAGCCTGCAAATAGCTTCACTGTGATCAGGCCGTTTTTTCTTGCCCCATATTGTTTTCATAAGAAGGTAACACATATCCATGCAGCGGTAGTTCTGTGCAACACTTTCCCGTACCTGTGACGGAAGCTGTGGCATTGCGACTCCATGACCCCGGACGGTATGCGTCTAATACCGTCTCAGTGCGTTGAAGTAATACTGATAACGGTGAATTTGATTTATTCCGCTCCGTCTTCGATAGGTACAGTGAAAACTCAAGTTAAAACGAAGTTGGTCGTGAAGTTGAAAGGGCTGTCAGCTTTTGCCTTGCACAAACTCCAACTGCGAGTTCTCCTGTCCTAGACACATTTCCACTGCAGTGTATGTATACTTGCAGCCTTTAACGATCGCCATGACAGCGAGGCATGGTTGCAGGAACCAAGACTGATAGATTTACTCACCATGGTGTGAAGGTATTCGTCTATTATCCGGAGATAAAATCTGTGTACCCAAAAGTTCAGTGCACTTCTTCTATATCCAGCTGAGTAACGATCCACCTCAGCTGAAGACGTGTATCATTAAAGCATTTCGGAGACGAAGGGCGGGACAACGACAGCTCCACTAATGGATATTTCCTCTGCCACAGGCGTACGCAAAGCTTTATAGTTACCACGATGTGACTTTCAGATTTAGCGTGGCACAGCTCTCAGCTTTGGTGTCTCCGATGTGGAACATTATTTTTTTATTTTTCGGAGGGGGGGAAGACCGCTATTGGAATTTACTATAAGAAGCTTCGGAGGTCCAAAGGCTTCAGTTGAGGAGAAAGAGAGTTAAAGGATATCACCAGCAAGAACTGGTAGTATTATGATCTCGTTTGGGTGGTTACCATTGGTTTAACCACACATGCTTTGATATATATACCCCTCAACAACAAATGGTTTCTATGTCATTGGCTAAGGAAGGCTGTACAGGTTTCTAGCCAGCCAACCTTGTGATATTAAAATAACTGCATTGTCAGGCAGAAGGAAGGAAGCCCTGTTCACACTCCCGAGTGAATAGAGCTTTCCCCTCCCGAACAATGCAGTGCGATATCCGGCTGTCCGAAAGTGCGCAGATCTCGAATATCCTTGCATTATAAACTATCTAACAGATTTTGGTCGGAAGGCGTTTTTAGAGCCTAGAACTCTAAAGAACTATCCCATTCTATGAATAGTATAAAATCATCGATCACTGTGGAGCTGAGTGCGCAAGAAGACTATTTCAATTGGCCCCGAAGGAGAAGTTTTAAACCTTTGGAAAGAAACTCTTATGTGGGATCCCTGACTAAATAAAGACTGGGAAAAATGATATATTACGGCATTAGATGGAGGTATATCTAATTCGGGTAGTGTAGAAAGGAAGCAGCTGTTAGTTATATAGAAACCCAAAGCATCATGCTTAAAGAGAAGAGAGCAAGGTCATTTAAGAAATAAATACACAGAGTGATCCTCATTGCAAATTACCTGCAATGCTGGTAGAAAAAACATTAGCCTCTATGGAGTGGACGGTAGCCCACATCACCACCAGGGGCTCCAACACAAATTCGTTAAACCTAGATTCTGTGCCATATCAATGGACTCTCATGACCTCAAGACAGGCACGGAAACTTCCCAGATGACGCTCAAATATTAAACTACATATATGGTAAAGATCAGGCTTGTACGGGAGGTCTAGTATCCTGTGCGCGGGATCCAGTTTTGCATACTCCATACATTCAGCTAACATGGTGTCACCAACATCCCAACATCCAAATAAGCAAAACGGGGAGGTCGAGCGGGCCGGGGACACGGAACCTTAATATGACTAACTAACTCCACTAGCGGGGACGTGCATTATGATTATCTAATTTGGCGCCGTCAAACATCGGCGGCGGCAGGAGGATCGCTGTTGTTTCAGCCTTGGATCGCTACTACTCGGTAGTTATGAGTCATCATGATACCGAGGGTATTATATAAGGCTGCTCTTGAGCAAAGATGGAGGGACAAAAGCTCAGTGCTAAGAAGCGATGGCTGCTGGGCGGTCAATTATGCCAAAGACCGAAGAACAGCTCTCTGGAAGCAACGGACTCCCTCCTCATGTCGAAGATGAGCACGCGAGGCGCATCCTTCTGCGTCAGCTCGATGGGCTACCAGTGGACTCGTCGAGAAATTCCACAGTGTTCGCCTACGCCCAGCCCTTAGATGTAGCTCTGATTGCCATAAGCACTCTTTCGGCCGTCGTCGCCGGTGCCTTGAATCCTCTTCTTACAGTCGTCTACGGTCTTCTGGTAGGCACGTTCCAAAAACATACATATGGAATGGTGAACAGCTCGCAGTTATCCTCCAATGTCTCCCAGTTCACTCTCTACTACGTCTACCTTGGGATCGCGGAGTTCGTCCTGATTTACATTGCAACCGTTGGGTTCTACTACTCTGGGGAGCGAATTACGCGAAACCTACGGCAGGCATACCTCAAGGCGATTATCAGGCAAAATATTGCTTTTTTCGATACTATTGGTCCAGGAGAGGTTACGACAAGAATAACGGGAGATATGAATATCGTTCAGGAAGGAATCTCAAGCAAAATTTCAATATTTCTTACCGCCATTGCCACATTTTTGTCGGCAATTATTATCTCCTTTATCGAAAACTGGAAACTCGCGTTGATTCTGCTCTCCACCTCCATCCTCCTAGGAGGAGCAGAATTTCTGGGTGCCTCGTTTGCTTTAAAGTACAGCAGAAAAAACTCTGCATCCCTAGGTAAGGGGGCGTCGGTAGCAGAAGAAGCAATCAGCTCCATTCAGCATGTTTCCGCCTTTGGAATCCAGGGTGCCATGGCCAGACGCTACCAGGCCTATCTCAACATTGCAGAGAAGTGGGGAGTGAAGATGCGGCTGTCGGTATCATTCATGATTGGTGCCATGAACGCACTTCCCTATCTTACGTATGCACTGGCATTCTGGCAAGGCTCTCGCTATATTGTCAGTGGCGAGTCGACCGCGTCTGCAGTCATTACTATTGTTTTAGCGACAATTATTGGCGCCTTTGCTGTCGGGAGAGTTGCCCCTAGCGGTGAAGCATTCATCAGTAGTATCTCTCATGCGGGAACGATTCTCAAAGCAATTGCTCGCCAGTCGCCATTAGATCCGTTCTCTATGAAAGGGCGACAGTTACCTGAGGTGCAAGGCAATATTGAACTACACAATGTCAGCTTAGTATACCCCTCCCGACAGGATGTCCAGGTTCTGAAGCAGGTAAGTCTAAAGTGTCCTGCGAACAAGACCACAGCTCTGGTTGGCGCCTCGGGTTGTGGCAAAAGTAGCATTATCGGACTAGTTGAGCGCTTCTATGAGCCTACTGGTGGACATATCAGTAAGCCTTTCTATCTAAGCTTAACGACACCCGAGTTAAGTATTAACTATATGTGATCAAATGGCAGCGTTGGACGGACATAAGATATCCGATCTAAAACTGAACTGGCTGAGACAACAAATTTCCTACGTGGTCCAAGAACCAGTTTTGTTCAACCGCAGTATTTTTGAAAATATTATCCTTGGTTTGGTAGATCCTGGATTACCACGATCAGAGCAGGAAAAACAAGAACTTGTGTATTCTGCTGCTAAAATTGCAAATGCTCACGACTTCATCATGGCTTTGCCGCAGGGCTACCAAACTGAGGTCGGTGCCAAAGGGCTGCAGCTTTCTGGTGGTCAAAGACAGCGTATTTGTATTGCACGAGCAATCATTACCAACCCTAAAATCCTCCTGCTTGATGAAGCTACATCTGCACTAGACGTCAAGGCGGAAAAAGCAGTTCAGCAGGCATTAGAATCGGCAGCTCAAGATCGTACGACGATTGTGGTGGCTCATCGTTTATCCACTATCCGGAATGCTGATAACATTATTGTAATGTCGAACGGCTCTGTTGTTGAGCAGGGGCAACACGATGAGCTTATGAGCCAAGGTGGAATCTATTCTCGTTTAGTAGAGGCTCAGCAGATAGGTGCTTTGCCTGGGGACTCCGTAGAGGATACACAAGATGACTCCGTTTGGGAGGAGAAGCAAACACAAACCACCATTCTAGCCAAAGGGTTAGACCAGGCTAATATTGAAACAAAGCCAGTTCCAGAATGCAATGTCGATAGCCCCAAACCTCCGCAGCAAGATGCCCAGCCAGAGCAGAGGCCGACCTTTAAGACATACTTTCAGATTGTAGCAAGACTTAACCGAGAGGAGGCATTTATAATCCTTGTCGGTATTTTCTTCTGCTTCATTGCTGGCTGCGTGATTCCAGTGTAAGTTCTCGACACCAACATAGGCCTAATATAGATGAATCGGATGCTAATAATCATGACAGGCAATCCGTCTTCTTTGCAAAATCAATCAATGCCGTCTCTCTTCCAGCATCTCAGTATACCCAACTCCGCCACGAAATCAATTTTTGGTGTCTCATGTTTCTGATGATTGCCATTGTTAACTTCATCGCATGGATTGGCCAAGGAGCATGCTTTTCCTATTCCACTGAACGTCTCTCCCATAAAGGCAGATACCAAATGTTCCGATCAATTCTCCGACAGGACATGACATTCTTTGACCAAAAAGAACACTCGCCAGGCGGGTTGTCCTCGCTACTCTCTACTGCACCAACTGAGCTCTCAGGGCTTAGTGGTGCAGTAATTGGGGCCTGCCTGACGTTCATTGTCACTCTTGCAGGAGGAATTATCCTATCACTGGCAATTGGCTGGAAGCTCGCTCTTGTCTGTGCCGTAACGATTCCAGTCATGACGGGCTCCGGCTATATTAGACTAAGAGTCCTTTCACTCTTTGACAGCCAGATGCGGGCAACCCACGAAGAAGGCGCCATGTACGCCAGTGAGATAATAACAGTTATCCGGTCGGTGGCCTCCCTGACGCTCGAGAGGCATGTGTTAGATGAATATAGCAAGATTCTATCCCAGCAGGCAGCTAAAACAATGCGGTTCATTCTAATAACTTCCACTCTTTACGCCGCATCACAGTCGTTCACATTCTTCTGTATGGCGCTCGCATTTTGGTATGGTGGAACGCTCTTGGCAAACGATGAATATAATATGCTACAGTTCTTCATATGCTTTGTTGCTCTGATTTCTGGCGCACAGATTGCAGGAGCAATATTTAACTTTGCCCCGGATATGAGCAAAGCGCTGCATGCTGGGCAGCGTTTGAAAGACCTCTTTGAATTGAAGCCAAATATTGATACATGGGATACCACAGGCCAAAGCGTTGCCGAGAGTGCCGGACAGATTGATATCGTCAACGCCAGTTTCCGGTACCCAAATAGGCCCGAAAGGCTAGTCCTTGATGAACTCAGCCTCAGCATCCAACGTGGCCAGTACGTGGCATTGGTAGGTCCCAGCGGCAGCGGGAAAAGCACCGTGATCCGCTTATTAGAGAGGTTCTTTGATCCGACTGAGGGTAAAATTTTCGTTGATGGAAAGGATATTTCCCAGCTCAATATTAACGACTACAGAAACTTGATATCATTGGTTAGCCAGGAACCTACCCTGTATGAGGGATCAATCCGGGATAATATCCTTCTGGGAACCGAAAGGAAAGTAGAGGAAGACGAACTGGCGGAAGTGTGCAAGAAAGCAAATATCTACGACTTTATCACCACTCTACCGTGAGTTATTTTTATTCGTCTCAATTACACTTCATACCCTCTTCCAGTCAGGCTGACGGATAGTTCTAGAGATGGGTTTGCAACGTTGGTCGGCGTTGGGGGGACCATGCTCAGCGGAGGTCAAAGGCAGAGACTCTCGCTTTCTCGCGCTCTACTTCGAAACACTAAGATCCTGCTTCTTGACGAGGCAACGTCAGCCTTGGATTCGGAGTCTGAGAAGGTGGTTCAAGCTGCGCTTGATAACGCTGCAAAAGAACGAACGACTATTGCCATCGCTCACCGATTGAGTACAATTCAAAATGCCGATTTGATCTGTGTTCTAGATCATGGGCGGTTGGTCGAAAAAGGAACATATTCCCAACTCATAGGCAAAAAAGGCCTATTCTACAGTCTAGTCCAGATGCAATGTCTCGGTGCGGTTGGCACATCTGGGGATTAACGGGGCTGTACATATCAAAAACATGTGAACAATTGGACTTTGTGTATACTTTGGAAAGTTTTGTATATATATTTGCCTACCTTGTTTATACAACTATGAGCGGCAAATCTAAAGCAAGACCGGCATATCTTGCTAGCTTGCGGCGACAAGGCCACGTACATACATGTTATTTTTAACCCCCCCCCAGACAGTATGCGGACCAGGGGAACGAATATTATATGTCGGTCCTACTTGCATCTTGCATCTATACAAGGATATAATGACAGACTTTGATAAAAAAAATGACCGGTAACTATACAGCCATGCTGGCCACGCAATGCACCCAAACCTGCAACGAGTGTGAAGCCCCCTTTCCAACAGGAATTGACAATGCACAGCCGCCTACAGCGACCTCCCACTGGCCGTCAACTGCAATAAGATTCGAGCTAGATATCAAACGGCCAGTAGCTTTTGCTGACATCCAACAAACGGTGATTCCATGCTAAGGCTCGGACATCTGTCTCCTTAGCGAGAAATTCGATGCTTATCTTATGTCCAAGAGCATGACGCCCAGTGCTTCGTAGCGCCATAAAAGAGCTTGACTACAACGTACTACATTCTTTTCCCCACATCGTGTTTGCTTTTATATGAACTGGGGTGCATATATATATATAGAGGGAGTGAACCCCTCTTACTCGAGTTGATTCAGCTGAACCAGACTGAACCAGGCAATATATATATCTCCCATATACCATTCTACCGACACATAACCGATCTCTAAAATACCACATCATACAGCCTTGGAAGAAGAAACCATGGACTTGCTCAAGAACCCTGACTTTGCTGCCTATGTGAAGCACGCCTTGGAGCGATACCATGTCCCAGGTATCGCCATCGCCATGGTGCAAGGCAATCGAATCGAGTCTGCAGGCTTTGGCAAGGCATCGTTAGACCCGCCGGCAGACTGCAACCCCGATACCCTTTTTGATATTGCTTCGACTTCCAAGTCTCTGACTGCGGCCTCTGTTGCGCTGCTAATCGATGACAACGACAAGTATCCGCAGGTCCAATACGAATCTCGCATGTCAGATCTTCTTCCTGGAGATTTCGTCATGCCGGGAAACGACCATAACGACGTCACCGTCGAGGATGTACTCTCCCATCGAACTGGCATGGCACCGTAACTGAACCCCTTTCCCCGTACACCCCCTATTACACGAACGAGAACACTAACAAATATTTCAGGAACGATTATTCACTCCTGGGCCCGAATGCAGCTCAGCCCGACGATGCACGATCCGTCACCAGAAACCTACGTAACTTGATAACAGTAGCTCCGAACAGGTCGGAGTACCTCTACTGTAATCTTATGTTTACCGCTGCATCATACCTAGTCGAATGCAAAAGCGGCCTTAAATTTTCTGAGTTCATACAAACTCGCTTCTTCAAACCGCTAGGCATGCAATCAACCAACCTCCAGCCCCAAGGAGCCAGAGAAAAAGGACTGGCCCATCGACTGGCTACAGGTTACTACTGGGACAAGGAAGCTGGTGAATATGTGTGCATGCCATGCCATGATTCCCCCGAGGCCCAGGGAGCAGGACGCATCATCTCCAGTGTAAACGACTACATCAAATGGGTTCGAGCGCTGATGAACAAACAAGCACCCATCACAGAGAGTATATACCAAGGCCTCGTGAAGAAACGTATCTCTCAGTCCCCACCCTTGAACGACAGTGAAGACAGCGAAGGCTCCGAAGGAGGACACGATGCCTTCCCGACATTCGCTGCTGCTGGGGTGGAAATACATCAGTACTGCGGGCACACGATGATCACGCATGATGGGCTCGACCTTGGCTATGGATCGACGCTTTTCTTCCTGCCGGAACTGAAGTTCGGAGCCGTCGTGTTTGGAAACTCAAACAATGCGTCTAACGTCGCGAGGATAATCAAGTTCAAGCTTACGGACTGGGTTACGGGGAAGAAGTCGAAGGAGCTTCTTGGGGTGATAACGTCGTTGGATTCTGGATCCGAATCCGAGGATGAGGATAGTGATGAGGAGGAGGACGAGGACGGCTTCACGGAGCTTGAGAATGAGATGATTGGAGAGCTGTGTGCTGGTGGGGGTAAACGGACGGAGCAGACTATGCCGCTAGGTGCTTATGTGGGGACCTACTGGAACGACGGGTATAAGGGCATCAAGGTCGAGGAGAAAAACGGCGGTTTGTTCGTCAACGGCAGAGATAGATCGATGGGGTTCACGCTTACTTTTAAGCATATCTGTGAACAGAAGGGGTATATCGCCTACTTGTCTGAGATGACCGAGCATGAAAAATCGCCCATCAAAGCTGAGTTCAAGCTCGAGGGTGAACGAGCGGTTGAGCTTGGCTTGTCGTTTGAGGATTCTTGGGACGGATATATTTGGTTCAAGAGGATATGAGAAGGCTGAAATTGTACACTTTTGAAAAAAGTAATTGAGATTATTTATGCACTACTCTTATAATGTCCGGAACCACAACAACGCCGTAGAATTAAGAAATAAAAACAACGTGTGGCATAAGTCTTGGGATCGTGCAGATGAGGGTGTCGCTGGGCTGGCAACATGGCTTCCTAGCGATGCTATGTATGCTTGAGTGCGCCAGAGCAATAAAATACGTCAAGTAAAATATAGAAGAGAAAAAAAAAAAGGGACACAAAGGGAGTAAGAATTAAGAACCTAACGTATCGGGAGTAGAAAAAAAAAAGTTGAAGCGAAGGTGCTGATTATTGGTTGGAGTTTTTTTGCTCGTTGTTGAGCCGGATGAATTTCAAAGCCAGCTTTGTTTAGCGAAATTGAAAATGAAATTGTAAGTGAGCGAGAGTGGGTAGTATTGGGTATGTGTTTGTGGTATGTGTGTATTGATGCAAAGAAAGGCTCATCGCGGTGCGTTGCTTCGCTGGGGTATAATAAGAGAGGCAAAGAGAAAAGAAAAAAATGATAACATCCAGCCAGATTCCCCAAATGTCCAAACCGAGTCCAAAACCGAAACCAAGTCATAGGAACAAGTAGGCCACCTCGTCAAGGGAGAGAAAAAGAGAAGAAACATCCATTTGGCAATCGCACCTCGCTAGAGAAACTCATCAATGTTCCGCATTATCATTGGCTCCGATGGCTGCTGTGGTGATCGTGGATCGTACATCACAGTAGGCCGGCCCAAGGTTGACGCTGGTTGGCTGGCATCGAGTGATTTGCGGACTGATTCGACACTCAAACCGAGGCCACCTGCAGTAGATGCAGAAACGTTAGGAACTAAGCCAGGTGAGAAGGGTGAAGCAATGGCCAACGGATTGGTAGCTTTTGGTGAGAAGATTGACGACTCGTCTGGCAAGGAGGAAGGCCCAGCATTACGATCACACATGGGCGCATCAACATCGTTCTGTAGCGGCTGTGGTGGTTTGAAAAAAGAGCGCGCATGGAAGATGCTATCTTGGCGAGACATAGAGCGACGATAGGTGTGGAAAGTCTGATACTTTTCGCGCAATGGCAAAGGACGTGGTAAGATGTTGTTGCGTTTGGAGGAAGAGCCATGGTTATTATTGTTTCCTGTAAGACGAGAAAGGCTGAAGGGATTATGCGAAAAGAGGCTGAAACCAGGGTGGGGTGCTGTCGAGGAGTCCATGATAGGTCTCTTGAACGCTGGAGAGGATGAATCGGTGCCAAACTTGTTAGCGGACTGTGGAAGAGGCAGTTGGGGTGCTTTCTCCTGGGCAGCTGGGCTGTTAAGCCATTCTGGAGCTGGCTGTTTTCTGGTGTTACTCTTATCTTGCAGTTTGGCTCTAAAGTCCGTCAACTGGTAGATAAGACTCATGTTTGGACCGACCCAGCAGCTGCGCGCCTTCACCATGCCGTAGACGGAGTTAAAGTCCAGGTGTCTGTTTTTATACAGCCCATAGGCGATGACGAGCGAGGCAGAGCGGCTGACACCCAATTGGCAGTGGATGAGAACCGATTTGCCGTGAGACAGACGCTCATCGATCATCTCACAGAGTGTGTAGAGGTCATCTAAGATCTCAGAGTTGTGGTCCCAGGGAACGTGTATGTACTCTGGCCGGCATGGGGACTCCGCTTTCGGTGTGGAAGGGGACTCAGAATCGCTCTCGGTGGCAGAAGGAGGGTATTCAAATGCAGACATGAAGGTCGCATCAGACGTGGCGGTAGAAGGCTCAGAGTTGTGTCTACCCACATTTGCCTTCCAGACTGACATAACGGTGTCCTGTCTCTCTCGAGCGGCGGCCTTGAATGGATTGCGAACCTCCTTGGCTACGTTGAAGACAACATCGAAGCGTGATGCTTCTTCCTGGCTTGGTTCAAGGTAGAGGTATAACCCAGAGTCGTAGATGAGGACGGGACCGTGGGGATATCCTCGTTCAGACCCCTTGCGAGACTCACGGGATATGGGGTTATCGTCTTCCTCGTTTAGCCTTTCAAGCAATTCATGCTGAGTGAAGAGATGAGATGACTGGTTAGGCTCATCCCGAGGGCCGGAATGGGGTCTTTTAGCGGGATTACTGCGCTGGAAGCTCAAGGGTGGTCTGTCTGGAAATGTAGGGGAGAGGATAGAGTTAAGAGAAGGAGAGGATTCGGCATGGCGAAGCAACGGTTTTGTGGTAGGGGTAGCGGG